AAAGTTGTGAAACTGTGTATTTAACTCACAAAGCAGAGTTTGCTAAAAATCATGACGTACACAAATAAACTGGAACACATTTATTATTACTTTCAATGGTTAACTTAAATCTAAAATTCTAATTGAATATACAAATATAAATATCGGATCATCATACAATCGGCCAAAGACTCAAAAGATGAGTTGGCGGCTCATCCCTCTCCACCGGCATGAAAGAAGAAATTGTTCGTTCTTTTATAGATAACGATTTCGTTCGTCACATTGATTGAATACTTGTTTCTTGAATTCCCTTCACTTCCTTCCTGGAAACGAATCTAAAAAATAAACTCAAACACTAAAGTTTATAAATGGAAACTACTTATTTCCACAGAAACGTTTTATTTGCGCAAACATCATAGTAAATCTAAATGATTTTTAATCTGTTTTTCATCACTTATTGCCATGCATTTCCGCGTGATTTTTAAAATTTCGATATTTTAGCACGATATTGTTACGAATCGGGGTTAAAGAAACGCCAATTTAGATAACCATTTTTTGACGAGATTTATTTGTGCAGATATTATCGCAAATCAAATTTTCTTCGTTCGTTATTTTGGTAATTATTGCTACATGCTTCATTTGCTCCATTATTGCTACATTTGAATGTCCCGATATTTTTTTACGTTATTGTGAAACTTTAATTTCGAACTCCGCATTTAAAATACGCCACTTTCTGCTGACGCGCTTTTATATCATTTATGATAATATGCCGAGGAAATGATTCGTATATTATTAAATTTTAACTGTATAAAAAATGTAATCAAGATAAGTTTCGTAAAGTGATGTAAATTTTTAATTAACTGTTAATATATATGTGTATTAATTGTAAATAGTAAGTGTCGTGTTTAAAAAGTATTGGTCATAAAAAGTTGTAAACAAGTATCCTAAAAGTTTTTTATTATTAAGGAAAATAGTTCCTTCAAAATTAATGTTTTCTTTTTATTTTTTGCTTCCCTCTCAGCCCATGCATTTTAGAATTATTTTATAATAAATGTTTCAAACTTTAAAGTATATTCCCAGCTAAATGTTAAATCTTATTTTCAGCTGAAGGGGTTTTGTTTTAATTTTAACCCTATAAACTTTCTTTAAATAAAAGTATGTATTTAATTTGCATTTATTTTAATAACTAGAATATTTATTTTTTTGAAAATTTAGTTCTATGAACACATCTTTTAATGAAATTTATGTTTAAAAGGAATTTTGTATTATGTAATATGATAAAAAAAACATGAATTTTCCCATAGTTTTTAATTATTTCAATTTATCTAAATTTTATTTTTGATAAATTGTTTCTGATTTTTTGATTCTGTTTTTTTTCCTAAGTAAAAAGTTTTGCAGTTTCTAATTTTAAACTCTTAAAAGTATTTAAATTTATGCAAATATATTACAAGGTTAACAGACAAAAAGAATTTGGTGCCTAGAACAAACGTATCATCCTGAATAAACTTTGATCAAATGATCGCATCTTCATGTTCTGGAACTGATTTTAATGGTTGAAGGTGGTAACCACAAATATGCTCATTAATATGCCAGAAGATATTTTAAGTTTCGAAATTAAACACAAAAACGTACTTTCTCTGAACAAACATGCTTTTTTTCCCAACGAATTCGGGTTTCTGACTGAAAAATATAGGGGGTAGCCGCAATCATGGAAATATGGTAACCATAGTTTAGTTAATAGAACGGTTTTAAGTTCGGAGCCCTTAAGCTTAATTTTACTTTTTACATATTTCACCATACCTCGAAGACTTTTTAAGCGAATTGTAACATTTTGGCACACCTTATAAAATTCGTTCATCCTAGGATAATTCCATGCAAAAAAAAATTAATTTTGGTATAGATTTATTATGTTACTTAATAAAGTAGAAAAATTTTGAATTGCAAGGTATATAATTTTTTACATCATCCTAAAGAATGTAATTTTGCATAGCAAAATACAAATTTGTACCGATATCGGTCTAATAGTTCCTTAGAAGTAGAATTTTAAAGAAGTCGTATATTTAAAATTCGATTTCTCAGAATCCAATGTAAACTTGTATAATTTAAAAGGATGCAAAAAAATATATATATGCCTAACAATGCAAAAAGTTTTCGGATAATAAAAGAATAATAAATATAAAGTTTTTTTTGCATATCATTATCTTTGGATAAACATATTTTTTAATTCACTGCAAAAATTTTTCAATTTGCATAAAAATTTATCAAGATATGGCGAAATACAATACGTATCTTCCTCCTGATCAATATATGGGGACCATATTTTCCAGATTGCTGCCACCCCCTATATTTTGATGATCAGAAATCCGAATCCATGGGGGAAAAAAGGTATGTTTATTCAGAGAAAGTATGTTTTTGTGTCTGATATCCTAACTTAAAATATCGTCTGCACTTCTAGCATATATGAGGTCACCTTTTCAAACGTTTAAGAATGATTCGTAGAACATAAAAGTCTAATGATTACCTCAGTGTTTCCCAAAGTGTGGCACGCGTACCCCAGGGGTACGTTCAGCGGGGGTACTCGTTCTTATGCGAAAAAACTTGCAACAAAAAAAATTTTTAAAAAAAACATTTTTTTTTTAATTTTCCATTGGCTATTTTTTGCAGAGTTGACTGTTAATAATTAGTGGTATCAACAGCCAGTTGTGATTTTTAACTTTTGTGCAATTTTTCAAAAGCAAAAAATGCATTTATTTTATTATTAGTGTTACACAGCGTAACGAAAAATTCAGAAAGCGTACACAAAAGGTATAAGTTTGGGAAACACTGGATTAGATGATTTGTCTTGAAGTTCCAATGATACTATTTAATGTTTCTCCAATTTGGAGTTTTTAGTTGCCTGGCTTATGATAGTTCTTTAAAAAATTTTTTCCGTGAATGATAAATTTTTGATGTTTGTGAAAGTTTCGGATAATTGGGAATGAATTGGTTGCTTCGTTTATTACAGACATCCATAATTATTGACTGAAGATTAGAAATTCAGTTATCAAATAAGGTTAGGTTATTAAGTTCATGAGTGGCAATAGTTTGCTCGTCTCTTTGGATGATATTACGGTATAATCGACAATTTTATTTTTTTTTAAATTTTCCTTTTTTCCTTAACCAAGCAAGTGCCAACTGTATGCAAAACTGGATGATGATCAGAAGACAGTTCATCAAGTACACAGACAAGCTATTGGGATATCGGCAATTGAAATAGCTAAGTCAAGAATGTCAGGTCTACGGTTTTGATTTTGTGGAAAAGGAGTTGGTTCAGAAGGTAGCCATGAGAGGTCATTGAGGGATAAATGATCTATTTGGTCTTTAGAAGTTTGCCATTTTTGTTCGTATTAAAAAAAAAGACCCCATGAAGTATGTTTCGAATTAAAATAGCCAACCACAATGGTTTTAAGATAAAAAAGAAACAGATTTAAAAATATCATTTTGAGTAAGATTATGTCTTTGGGAATTGCTCGTTACCATCTTTGTTGCTGTTATTGNCGGCAATCATGGGTCTATTTTCTAGCGTTGCCATTCGGGGAGTTGTAATGAGGCTTTTTTTTTATCGCCGTGTAAGAGAAATATATATATAGATATTTTTGGCGAGAACTGTAACTAAACTTCCTCTGTAATTCAATCACATCTATAGGTATTATAGTTTGGAATCTTTTGATGTTTTGGTTTAGCCATTTGCTTTGCACCGACCACAGTGCTGACGTGAAATATCCTCACTGGTAGACGGATCATGGGTTAAATCCCCCTTGCCGTTAGGCCAACCATGGGAGGTTCTCGTGGTCTTGCTTTCCATGTAACGCAAATGCGAATTAGTTCAATCAAAAAGTCCTCCAAGAAGGCAAATTTCTCCCAATACTTGATCCAGGAGTTCCCTTGTCTTCTGGATTGGCTTCGCAATTACAAGGCTATGTAGTTGAACATTAGTAGTGTTAAACCCAAAGTTGAGTTGGCTTTTCGATAAAATAACTTTTTGCTTACGCCTGGTACAATAAGTGGACCAGCTGTAATAAACAGTGGTAAATTGAAATAAAAAATTCAACGATATTTAGTGTTAAAATATCTTAAAACTATTCTTTCTAATATTAATTTTTTTACAGGCTACAATTAGTGGTAAACTAACTGTAGTCTGTACTATTTTAATTGTAAAAATTGTTAAGGAAACACCAACAATTGTTTTCACATATCTGCTATGAATCTCTCAAATTTATAGTAGTGATAGTAAAATTAAGTTGTTGGTTTCTGGATTTTTAAGACTGACTTTAACATTCGACGATCTGAATACGAAGATATCACTTGAGAAATTATAACTAATATACATAGCCTCCCTGACTGAGATTGCGCCCCGTAATGGTTACGCTAATTGTTTAAATAATTAAGAAGCACAAAACTCCCGCGTTCAGTTGTCAAATTTAGTTTAAATATTGATAAGGCGCATTTCAAGTTGCATGAATTTTCTTAAACACGCATTTTCAGCTGTGACCTTTTATGGAAAAACTAATTTTGCGTTCATTTTTGTAAACAGGCATTGTGAGATGTGTCCATTTTTGTAAACATTAATTGTGAGCAGCATCCATTTTTGTAAACAGGCATTGTGAGATGTGTCCAGTTTTGCGAAAAGGCAATTTGAGCTGTGTCCGTTTTTATAAACAGACATTTTGAGCTGTGTCCAGTTTTGTATACAGATTTTGAGCTGTGTCTGGAATAAGAAGCTCACCGTCAATCTATTGATTCATTAGCTTTCATTTTGTTCTCTTATTTTTATTTAATTTTTTCAAAATTTCATTTATTTTTATTTCATTTATTTATTTTACTATTATAATTGCTAATATTAAACTTTTCTCGAAGTTTGCCACGGACTATCTAAGTAGGGTAGGATAATGGGGTCTAAATTTTTTTTTCTATCCAAAGGTTTCACGTTCAACAGTTACGCACACATAAAGTACACATTATTGAACATTCAAAGACAACAATTCTTTCAAAATGTATTTTATTTTTTAAAAATAACTTCATTCCACGATTTTCTTCTCCAAAACATATTGTATAACTTGAAATACTGTACACATATATTTGCACACATAACGTAAACACATGCATTTAGTACAAAGCAATAAAAATATTTGGTGAAGCACAGCCAAAATTTTGAATTTTAATAGATATTTTTTCTGTTTTGCCATTCTAGCAAGGTAAACATTTAAAACAAAATATTTACCAATATTTACTTTAAACACAATTTTTCGAACTATTTTTTTTAAAAAAATTCATTACATAGGTGTCAAAACAGACTGAAACGTTTCAAGCTAAAACAACCATTAACAATTTTAGTAGGTGAATAAAAATATCTACTTGTACACGAATTGAGAGAAGATGTTCAGAATGTTAATAAAACTAAAATGAACAGAATTACAATATTTGAGCATTAAAAACTAAATTAGCTAAAACAAATAAAAAACATGTTTCGTTGTCTTTAACCCCCTTCAGGATTAAAGACAATGAAATCTTTAAACCTTTTCAAGGCTCCAAATATCATACATATAATGAGCATTTCTGACTCCAGTCCATGATCACACTGACATTACTTCAATTTGGAACGTTTAATTTCAATTTTTAAATAATACTAAATGCCAGTTTGTAGTTCGAAGTTCCTCGTAAAGTTCATTGTAATTCGAAATTTATTGTTATTTCGAACAGTTTAACTGTTTAATTATCAACATTTCGGTTTCAAATATTCTTTTAAAAATTTGATACGAGATATTTAAACAAATGAACGCACGTGTTCGGCTCTTTCGTAAGGATTAGTGAATCAGACTGCTCTCTGGTTTGTCTATATTTAGCAGGAGTGGGAAAATGAATTAATGTTTATGGGGTTGGCAGTTTGGGGTTCGCTTGATAATGTTTTATTTTTCAGTCAGTTTCGCAGTTTTTTTTAAAACAAATATTTTATTACAGTTGTATGTGGCAGTCGTGACAGTTATGTTATGTGACAGTACAGGCTATGAGACAGTAGCTGTGATTCAGTGTGGATTTTATATGTTAATTTAAATGAAATTACTTAGCAGGAAAACACATCCATTAGCAATAAGCTCGGACCTGAGGAGATACTACTTTCTCTTTTTGCTGGTCCTGAAGGGGTTAAATGATTTAATTCGAGTTTAAATTTGACTTTCGAGGGATGCGCTTTATTATTTTAAAAGAGCGATTAAAAGTTTGCATAGAAATTGATATTAAAAAGAAGATTAAAAAAAATCGAACTGAGTCTGTAAAAGCATTTAAAGAAGAATTTGCTAAAAAGAAATTCCCTCAAAATTTTTTTTTTAAAAAAATGCGATGAAAATGTTCTTAAAATGCATTAAATAACAAGGATGAATCTCCTTCAAAACATTAAGAAAAAAAGAAATACATTGACTGAAGAACTCTGGTTTTAAATATTTAGAGGTGAATTTGAAATGAACATTTTATATTAATTAGCATTAAGCGCAAATAAATAATATAACTCAACAAAATAATGTAACAGAAAATCAAGAAACCAACTAATATATATTTCTTTATGTGCCTAAGCCTTAAACATTTTTAAAAATACTTTTTTTTGTTGAAAATAATTCTTCAGGTTTATTTAGTTACTGCTATTTGGAACATGATTTTCAGTTCTTTTGAGATTAACTAAATTAATATATTCGACTGAAGTACAACAAGGAAAATTCACAACTTAAAAACAGGAAACAATTTCTACTTGAATGTATTCTAATTGATAGGCAATGAACAATTTGTATAATAAATGGTACACCATCATATATAATAAAATAAAATAAGTATTAAATCTTAACATGAAAGTAATATACAAATGATACGCTATGAAACTAAAAATGGTATGTTGTCAGCAAACGGTAATAAATTATTCACCATATTCCAAACATAGTAATGTTTTCAAAATTTGATATCTAATTTATAATAAAAGTTATGAAAATAGATGTTTGATGCAATATTTTCACAGAATCGATGCTCCAAAAATAACATACCCTTTCGAGAGGCAGTTTTCTATTTTTGGACCCTATGCTTCTAAAAAGAAAGTCTAGTTTAGAAAATACATTCATTGTTTGCAATACAAATCTGAGTCGATTCAATTCTCATGAGTTACATTTCTTTCTACTTATAAGTTACTTTTTCTAAACGAAAAAGTTACTTATAATTTGAAAATGCTTATTTCACACATTAATCGCACCAAGCGACTCAATGGATTCCCAAAGCTGAGTTTTAAGAAAACTTTCTCTAGAGGGCCTTCTCAAATGGCACTTTCTTCTCTTCTGTTAGAATATACAAATACTGCAATAGAAATGCTGGTTTATCAATACCTTACATAAAAGTTCTTGAAAAATAAAACGAAATAGTAACTCGCAATTCCAGTTCAAAAATAATTATTTCATTCTTTTTAACTTATTTCAATTCTTATCTTATTATCTTATCTTTTATCTTATTCTTAACCACATTGGATTTAGAATGCTTTATTTTTAAAACACTTTCCTTAGATGGCCTCTTAATGACATAAGTGTCACTTTTTTTTTCTCCATTAGACAATACAAATACTGCAATAGAAATGTTGGTGAATTACCAGAAATTATATTTCTTGTTAAAAATGCAAAAGTAACTCGCAGTTCCAATTCGAAACTAATTATTTCAAACATTTATCACACCAAGAACGCATTGAATTCAGAATGCTCGATTTGAACAACGCTCTTGGTGTCTTTCTAATGACTGTAATGTCATTTATTTATTCGACAAACACAAATATTGCAATACAAATGAAGTTGATCAATTCCCAACACATTTTAATAAAGTAACTCGCAGTTCCATTTCAAAAATACTGATTTCAAACATTTATCACACCATCGACTCATTGGAATTTCGAACGTCAACTTTAACAGCACTATCTTTAGACGACCTTCTGATAACGTTAACCTCACTCTCTTCTTCTGCGATGGAAAAAGTTGCACTAGATCCTCGTTGTGTCGTGATCGCACACTGTCTCTCTAGTTTGGTGGACTTGCTATTTGTGGGAGGTGAGGACGAAGCGCCTTCTCCTTCCTGAGAGGACACAGATTCTCTTTTGAGCATTCGGCGACGCTGAGCCTTCTCCAGGAAGAAAGAAGCCGCTAGTGGTACCATGGGATTGTTCATCTGAATCTGTTCTTCCGTCACAGAGGGTCTACGAGCAATGGGTGTCTCTGAATCTTTTTTGTGCATAGCGAGGAGCGTCAATCTTCTTGCACGCAGGCGCCTGATTTTTAGGAGTGCCGCCATGTCTCTACTCTCATCACTCACCAAGTTAGGATTGTACTTCTGGTGTAGCTGAAAAGAACAAAAAAATTTAGTGTTTTGTAATAACCACCCTTAACATTCTTGTAACTAGGATTCGCACTAAAGCAACACCTCCTAGAAAAGAGCAGGCCTCAGCACAGGTTACCATAAATAAGGATGTCGATCCTTTAGTAGTCCAAACGTAATGACATTTTTCGTAAATTCCACCACTGCGCAGCTTAGTACCCCGAACGTAATGACATCTTTCTTATTTTTCATCTACTGCGCAGTTTAACTTCGTTACATCGGACTACTAAATTAATTCGCGCAGAGGCCTTCCTTCTTGTAGGAGGTGTTGACTAAAGAGGCTATATACTTTTAAATCTATAGTTCAACAATAGAGTGATAGTAAGGCACTGTTCACCGAACGTAACGTAAAATATTATCAGTGATAGACAGAACGTGTGTAATAACCCTTTTGCCAACTGGCTAACCATGGGAGATTTTCGGGATTTCTTCTACATGTAACTAAGACAAATACGAACTAATTACTTTCACGAAGTCTTCCATGAAGCCTAGTTTCTCCCAATGCTTGATCTAATAATATTGTTTTCTGGGTTGGGTTAAAACTTTACGTTTATCTTTGTTTAACTGCGTAGCACTGTAAACTCAGAATTTTGTCTGCTGTTCAACGTTGGTTTTATAACCTCATTTACTTTGAGTCATGGTGACTTATGGAATAAAGTGCTCGCCTCCTAAAGAGGTGACTTAGATTCGCATTCCAGAGGTGGTTGATCTAAACCAGTGTTTCTCAAACTTATGACTTTTGTGTACCTCTTTTAAATTTTTCGTATCTCTGTGTACGACTGATAAAAAAAATGAATTTATTTTTTACTATATAAAGATTGCACAAAAGTTAAAAAATCTTAACTGGCTGTTGACACCACTAAATACTAACTGTTAACTCTGCAAGAAATAGCCAATAGAAAAATATGTAATCGTAAATTTTCATGGCTAGCTTTGTTTTTGAATCAAATTTTTTAAAATTTTCGTTTGTTGCAAGATATTTTGCATAAGAACGCGTGCGACCCTCTAAATTGTTCCCGTACCCCTGGGGGAACGTGTACCACACTTTGGGAAACACTGATCTAAACGAATAAGTCTTCTGTGTACATTTCAAGTCCATAGTGCTGACGTATAACATTCTCTGTGATATACGGATCATGGGATAGAATCTCCTTGATGTCTGTCTAACCATGGCGGATTTCCATGGTTTTCGTCTTACATGTAACTGAAATAGGAGTCAGTATAATTTAAAAGTACTCCAAGGAGGCTAGTTAGTCGCAATATTCGAAGAGAGGTTCCATTGTTGCGTTCAAAATTACAAGGCTATGAGGTTGAACATTGAACCCATAAAATGTGTCATTTATAAAATAAAACATTTACCTTGTTGTACGGGTTATCAGAGAAAGCTTTTTGTAGCAACTTAGAAGCGTCGTCCTCTGGAGACTTTGTAAACAAAGCCAGGGTTGTCTGAGTCTTAAATAGGGGTGGTCGTTCAGGTGTCGCAGCAGAGTCAGAATTCCTCTCTAGAACAATTCAAGAAAACTTGTTGAGCAGCGAAGTATGTTAAAGAAGTGAATATTCACTTAATATCAATAAGCAACGTTTTTAATACTTATAGACTATGTTCTTAGTAAATACTACAAAGCAATGATTTTAGACCAATGAGCAACTATACAAACGTAAATTAATAGTCCAAATGAAAAAAAAATAGTAAGCACTAATACCAAAAACCAATAAGCACTGATTTCAGCAAAACTAATGAGCAATAATTTGAACAAATATCAATATGCATTGGTCTTAATAAATACCAGTTAGCAGTGGTTGTAAAAAGCAAATTGTTATTTTTTCTATTATTTATTTGTGCAAAATTGTTTTATATTTCACTTAACTTACCAGGAAGAGTCCTCCGAAAATGTTTAGCAGCTTAAAAAGTAAATGTATTCATAATTTATAAAACAAAATGCAAGTTTTTACAAGTTCAAATACAATAAAAATTGTCATCATCCTTTTTCAGAAACACATTTATTTTCTCAATTTAAATTAATCTAAAAATTACGGTGAACGTGTTCTTATAAAACAAAAATTTAGTTTCTTCTTTTTCATAATTACATACCCTATGCTTCAATAAAGTAGAACATTCAACATTGAGAAAGTGAAAATTTGTGCTATGCCTATACCCTATGCTTCAATAAGTAAAACATTCAACACCGATGAAGCGTATTTTGTGCTATGCCTATACTCTATGCTTCAATAAGTGAAACATTCAACATTGAAAAAGCGAAAATTTGTGCTGTGCTTATACTCTATGCTTCAATAAGTAAAACATTCAACATTGAAAAAGCGAAAATTTGTGCTATGCCTAGTTTCATTAAAATATTTGTGGAAGCAATAATTTCTAGTTTGCAATCGCGCATTTAGAGTTATGTTAATTTTCTTCGCCTCCCAAGATTGTCCATTGACCTCAATGGTTCGAATCCCAGTGGTGGCTAGTTGACAAGAAATCTGCTCCCATCTCGCACTTATCACAGTGCTGACGTAAAATATCCTCAAGTGGTAGACGGATTATGGGAACGAGTTCCCTTACAGTTTGGTTAATCATGGGAGGTTTCCGTGGAAATACTTTATGTAGCACAAATGCCGTTTAGTTCCATTAAAAAGTCCTCCACGAAGGGTAAATTTCTCAAAAATACTTAATTCAGGAGTTCCCTTGTCTTCTGGATAGGATTCAAAATTACAAGGCTATGAAGCTGAACATTGGTGGTCTTAAACCCAAAATTGGGTCGGCTGTTCAGTGATGATTATAAAATATATCTGTTTGAGCTGTAGTGGCTTAGGGGATAGAACTCTCGCCTCCCAATGAGGTGAACAGGGTTCAAATTCCAGCGATGACTGGTAGATTCGAATACTGCACTCTGATTGCGTTGATCACAGTATTGACGTGAATTATCCTCAGTGGTAGACGAATCATGGGTTAAACTCTCCTTTCCGTCAAGCTATCCGTAGGTGGTTTTCGTGGTTTTCCTCACCATGTAGCGCAAATGCCGTTCAGTTCCATTAAAAAGTCATCCACGAAGGGTAGTTGAAAGCTTATTTGATCCAGGAGGACCGTCGTAAACTCAAATTGGGGTCGTCTGTTCATCGCCGGTCATAAAATAAATTGTAACACGCATTTCAACTCATGTTAGTTATTTTTTAAAGGGTATTTTCAATTATGTTCATTTACACTGAGCTAACGGTCCAAATTAAAAAACAATCACGGATTAATTTCTGGATTTGAAAAAAAATCCTAATTAGATCCTTAATTAAAATGCACTAAAAGAATTTTTTTTTTAAATTTCACGAAGATAAAGGCAAAAAATAATTTGATAATACAGGAATGTTCGAAAATTATCGTTTTCAAACATCACACTGAAAAGAATTAGAATTTATTTTTTTACTGTTTGCTACTATAATAATAGCACAGCTAATACATTATTTCATAACAAAATGAGATAATTAACAGAACATCAAAATATTAATTAGACAAAATCATACATCATGCTGGAACAATAACGAAGCAATAATTAATAAAGCTAGCGTGGTACAGGCAGTTTGAAGCAAGCACAGATATATAACAGTGACTGATTCGCACCATTTTTTGTGCTTTTTTTCTCACGAATTTTACCATATCTTTATAATAATGTTAAAATTCTACAAATCTACCATTTTACAAAAATTTCCGTCGGGGCTCCAGAGTATTTTCCCCAATTATAACAAAGTTATGATTTGTGGGTTAATGCATTTCTTAAAAATTTAAGGTAAGAAAAATTATGACTAAAATGTCTCTAACTCAAAAAAATTTTGCTATGTTTAACTTCATCAAGTGACTTAATATGTACAGAAGGAATATTTCTGACAAATAAGCATTTAAATTCATCTCGCAATATTAGAATATCGCAGTTCAAACCTGAATCCATGAAACTTATAAAACTGTATTTTTCATCGCCTATATTGTAATATTTGAATGCCCACTTTAAACATTGTTTTAAATTCTCAATCTAGAAGTAAATAGCTAGTTTCTTTTTTTTCTTTTTTTTAAATCTTACTTGCTTTTTGGTCGGATCCATAAAGTTTGTCCAGCACTGGACTGGGCAGTAAAGGGCATAAAAAAGTAATGTTTAAAAATTTAGTGCCTTTAAAAATATCTAATATTGTATATATATTGTTTTAAATAAACTAAACTTTTAATAATTTATTTCCTTACTATAAAAAATATCATATTTTTAAATAAATAAAAAAATATTTATGTGGACATATCTGATAAAAAAAATGTCGTTCAACTTTAAACTGATCAAAAATGTTTCAACTAAAAAAGTAAACAATATCAAGAAATAACTAGACATCCTCAGAAGATTAACGCGTCATCATATAAATAAATTAATTGATTGATTTCATGCATCAGGCACATCATGCACGATATTAGAATCAATACTTACCACCCAGTGCAAATTTTACAAGTGAACGCCCAGCTTTTAAATAAAAGAAGTATTTATTAATATATCACGAATTAATATATACATAGATGTTACCGCAAATACCCAGAACCCGTTTTTATATGGGTCATTGCCAGTAAAAATGCAAAGTATTTTAAAAGCATGTGGTTATCACTACTAAAGACACACTTTAAAAGTTTATTTCGGTTATTGTAGTGTTTCTACCATTACAAAAATTTAGTTCCAATTCTTTAGCATATAAAACATGTTAACTCAACTTTACGGTGAGTTCATAGAAAAAGGTTGACATTGTCTGTAACTCACTCCCCACAGTTATTTTAACTACATTTATTTTAACTAACAGCTATTTTAAGTAACATTTAGAGCGGTTTAACCTTTTCTCAGTCAGTTTTTTTTCCTCGAATTTCCAACCCCATAGAAAGCATTTTTTTTTAATCGCTGAAAATTAATATATGTTCTATCCTAAATTCGAAAATGAAAAATAATTTTGTCAGCAAGCAGTTTTTTACTTGACCTATTGGTGGTTGTAGTTAATTTACGTCACACTAGAGCTGCACGATGGGCTATAGGCGACGGTCTAGGAAACACCCCTGAGGATGATCCGAAGACATGCCATCACAATTTCGATCCTCTGCAGAGGGGGTGGCACCCCCGCTTCGGTAGCCCGACGACCTGCACGCGAAGCCGAGCACTTTACGGTAGAACAGTTTAACGATGACCAATACCGGTCCTTACGCAGACTGATCCAAGTGGTCACCCACCCGCACACTGACCGCAGCCAGTGTTGCTTGACTTCGGTGATCTGTTGGGAACCGTGTCTTAACGATCAGTCCACTGCGGGACGACCTATTGGTGGTGAAATACGTGATTGTGATATGTTTGTGGGGTTGGTGTGTACGGGTGGTTGTGTGTGTGTGATATGCGCGATTTTTTTAATAAATCTTAGATAGTTCTTTGATTTCAAATCTTCAATCGCTTTCTTTCTACAAACTACACTTTCCATGAAATTTAATAGTATAGCTCAAACCACAATCTTTAAATTTCACCCGAGTGATTATTAAGTCTCTCCACTTCTCTGGCACGTTGGGCATGGTAGGAAGAAGATAAGATAATACACTTCATTTCATGATTCGGTTCGTAAAGGTTATTTGTTTCTTTTCTCCTAAGTGGTATTTTCCAAGGAGCAGACAATCTATCGATATAGCTTATATACTTATATGTTCTTTAAAAATTAGGTAAGTATCACGTACTTAAGTAATACCAAATAGAAAAAAATTAGATACTCAATGTTATCAACATAAATAAATGTTATTTTCAGAAATTTAATGAAAAATGCTAGCATATAAAAATTTGTTTTAATATGATGTGTTCACTAGTATAAATTACTAAGAATAAAAATCCAAGATGACAGTTACATGGTTAAGGATTTTCAAAAACTCAATAATTTTTTTTTAAATTTAAAAACATTTAATTTGTTATGAAAGAGCTAAAACCGTCGTTTAAAAATGTAAAGATAGCCAAAATATAAATGAATTACAATCTGACTAATTTCTTAGCTTAATTATGGAGGCTGCTTAAGATATTTTAACTATTAAATATATTATCTTTTACCATATTAATACTGAACATTATTCATTAAATTGTGCATAGGTTATTAACTTATATGAAGTTTAGATATATTTGCTACGCAGTTAACTCACTATTAATTTATCCGACATACCTTATTCCACTAAAATTAGACAATGATAAGTACATTAAGTTTTAGACTTTCAATGCCTTCATTTCTAATTATACATATTAAAAACTGTTATTGATCTTTATGTTTTTCCTTTTCAGAAATTGATAAAGCTAAAAAATTAGCAGCGTATAGACATAAGCTATAAAACACATCAATTAGAATAAGATAAGAAAAACTTTATGATTATCAACTTTACTCTCGAATGTGTGTATATATATATTTTCCTTTTTTTTTATTATTTCTTTCTATTCTGAGCGGTGTTTCATTGAAACTATTACGCTTTTGCAATTTTTCTTTTTTTTTATATGATACATAATTAAAGTGTAATATAAAAGGAAATATTTACTTACTTTTCTTGCTTCTTAATGGTTTGCCTTCCTCAGAGTCCTGCAGGTCAAATTTGCAACTCTGCCTTCTCAGTTTATGCCCATCCATTACTTTCTCTCCATCCTCTTCCTTGGTTTCTATCTCGATCTCTTCCTCATTCTCTTCCGTTACAGGTGGGAGGACCTCCAAGATATCTTCCGTATCTTCCATCGACACCCTGCAAAAGAATTTAAAAATTCATATAAGGGCAGTAATTAGTAAACACCCTTCATTTAAAAAATTGATCACTTTCCATTGATATCTTATTATCTTCTATCGACACTCTGCGAAGAATTTAAAAATTCATATTAAGGACGGTTATTAGTAAACACCTTTTATTTAAAAAAGTGTCCACGTTTAAAAAATCGTTTTTCCCTTCAACGGTAATTAAATATCTTTAAAAAGTTAATTGCATTGTTAGTATAAATTCAACAATTTCATATAACATCCAAAAAAGCTCCCACTGATGGATGTTTTGTCTCTCAGTACTAGGCTTTGAGGAGAACTCCTCCAGACTAAAAGTCTGGAGCTGTCTGCTGCTATGGTAACAAGCCAGAGCACATTTCTAATGAGAGTGCAATAGAGAAATAAAAGTGTCGATTGGTTTACTCACGCTGACCTGTGTCAAGATCAAGACAAAACTATTCACTTTACACTCTTATTCGAAGTGACTTTTCCTCGTTACCATGGTACCCGCCACGACGCGAGACTGATATTTGGGAGAGTTCTCTTGAAAGACGCACTATATGTATACTTTGAATTGAAGGGCAAGCCACCACGTCAAAGATGCTCTTATCCCAGTTGCAACTGCATTGCCTCTTTAGTAGTATAATAAGTTATACATAATAAGTAGAATATTAGTTACTCTTCTTCAAGTTTAACTTGTTTGGGATGTTTTACTATCCTCCTTACTCCATCACTCCAATCTCGTTATAATTAGTTTTTTGGCTATTGCTGAACAGTTTCACCAGATTTAAAGAGATAATAAGTTTAAGAAGCACAACTTTTTGTTCCAGGCACAAGAACTTCTAGAAGCTGAGAATTTTTAAGTTTGGATCAATTTGGAAACATATAATTGGAGTTGAAGGACATTATTTTGCTGAAATATGTTTGAAATTACGCTTCTAACTGCAAAACAAAATTTAATACAACATATTAACAATCGTAATAGAATAACAATGAAAACTTAAGTTGCAAGCGAAAAGCTTCTTACAAGGGATACTAGGGAAGTGTGACTCGCCAATTTTGAAATAAACTAGTGGGATGTATGCCTTAAGAAGAATAATTATAGGGGGCAACATTCATTTCGGCCCATAGAAGGTCCTATGAGAGATAAAAAATAATTCAATATATAGAAAAATCGGTATTTTATTACTTCAATGCAGACTATTAGCTATCGTAATTATCTCATACTCCAATTAATTTTGTGGTACTTTCACTTACTATAATTACGCATATTTATTGTCAAAATTGATTTCGAAAATTTTGTATATCTGTAATTTTTCAGAAAAACCTGTTAGGTTAATTTAAAATAAAAAAAAATTGGAATAAAATTTTTTAAATTTATTTTTTTTCAAAAAAATTTTCAATGTTAAAACAAGTGAACATATCAACAAGTGAATATTTCATTTATATGAGAGTTGAAATATAAGTCGAAATATAATACGCATTTTCCCAAACTGATTTATAAAAAAATAAATTTTTTTCTTATTGTTAGATCTTGCAAACAAATCTGAAATAATTTATGTGATTGTATAAAATTAAATTGCATGTTTAAAAATATTATCAAATTTTTTCGGCGGGAAATTTTAACTNGGCGGGAAATTTGAACTTAAAAAATGTTTAATATTTCAATTCGGATTTTTTTCATAAAAGATCAACTGTACTGTATACACAAAATTTGAAGTGATATGTCACTTTAAGTGGAAAATCCGTTGATATCTATGTCCTGTGAATTGTTCAATATTTTGTCAAAACATTGCTATCTTTATAATATTATTTTTATATCTGATATCCTAGCTAATTTTTGAAATATTTAACTTTAAAAGTTGGCATCCTTCTACCTTGAAACATAGAGTTAGAGTAGCGCCACCATATAAAAAGAGACTACACGTTTTTGGTCCGTACTATTCTATATGGCGGAGCTACTCTAACCAATGCGTTAAGATTAGAGAATGCCTCAAATTTTGAGTATACAGTACAGTTGATCTTTTATGAAAAAAATCGAATTGAAATATTAGAATTTTTTTAAGTTCAAATTTCCCTCCGAAAAAATTTGATAATATTTTTAAACATGCAATTTAATTTTATGCAATCACATAAATTATTTCAGATTTTTTTGCAAGATCTAACAATATGAAAAAAATTAATTTTTTATAAATCAGTTTGGGAAAATGCGTATTATATTTCGACTTATATTTCAACTCTCATATAAATGAAATATTCACTTGTTGATAGGTTCACTTGTTTTTATATTGAAAATTTTTTTGAAAAAAAAATTAAATTAAAAAAATTTGACTCCTTTTTTTTTTCTAAATTAACCTAACAGGTTTTTCTGAAAAATTACAGATATATAAAATTTTCGAAATCAATTTTGACAATAAATATGCATAATTATAGTACGTGAAAGTACCACAGAATTAATAGGAGTATGAGATAATTACGATAACTAATAGTCTGCATTGAAGTAATAAAATACCGATTTTTCTATATATTGAATAATTTTTTATCTCTCATAGGACCTTCTATGGGCCGAAACGAATGTTGCCCCCCATAATTATTCTTCATAAGGCATGCATCCCACTTGTTTATTTCAAAATTGGCGAGTCACACTTCCCTAGTGTCCCTTAACCCTGTTCAGTTATCTTCCTCAATGTCAATTTCGAACAATTTTAACATTGCTCGTCGTAATTCTCAAACAATTTTAGGTAAAGATACTCTAGTACTGACAAACAAAGCATATTTCACGCGAAAATATGTCAAGTTACGATAAACATCCGCACACAATGCTATTAAAAATCAATTGTTGCATGTGCTATTATTTATGAGCAGACGCTATTAAAACCAAATAAATAAAAAGATATTACAGCAAATGCACTTACTTATTCAATAAAAGTGGTTTATGGTCTTCAATTGCAACGGCTGGTCCATATAGATGAGCAAAATGGTCTCTGAAAAACACAGCATGCAATAACATTTAATGTAAAATTACTATATTCTACTTTTTATACAATTAGAAATTAATTCGATACAATTAGTATACTAAAAGAGAAATGATCAAATGCAATTGCAAATTTATAAGTAAAATTTCAAATGATAAAGCTATATGAGTAAATAGGTTTAGTCTATCATCAGAATTCCAGTTTGGCTTAGAAAATGAAATAGAGGTAGTAAATTTACATCAACGCTAGTAGAAGTTGCCAGTTTTAAGATTCTGCTTAAATGTTTACAGGTTTGGTAAGATTTTTTTTTTGCGGTATGAAATTTATTTTTACAAATTTTCCTCTTATTTGTTGCACTATTACGCACCTGCCAACTTTTACCTTTTTCAAAAAAGTGTTTTCCTAGTATTAGGAAAAAACCATTTAAACTGTGATTGTGTGTAGTGTTTTGTTGAAATTTATCCAACATTTAAAATTCTTTTAGAAAATTCACGAAGATTGTAAGATCTCAGAAGGCGCACTTACCGATTCGTCGGTAATATAAGTCGAATAATTAGAAGAGATATAAATCGAAATGAGTATACACGCTTACAATATATCTGCTTGAGAGCAGCGTTGGCTTAGAGGACAGAGTGTTCGCCTTCCAATGAGGTAAACCGAGTTCGAATCCCAGCAAATGCTGGTCAATGCGAATCACTCTAGTTGCACCAACCATACTGCCGACGTAAATTATACACAGTGGTAGACCAATCACAGGTTAGAGCTCCTTGCAGTCAGGCTATCCGTGGGTGGTTTTCATGGTTTTCCTCTCCGTGTAACCCAAATGCGGGTTAGTTCGATCAAAAAGTCCTCCACGAAGGCAAGATTTCTCAAATATACTTGATTCAGGAGTTCTCTTGTCTTCTGGATTTTGTTCAAAATTACAAGGCTACGTAATTGAAGCCTTGTAATTAGTAGACGTAAACCCAAAAACTGGGTCTGCTGTTTAACGACGCTTAAAAAATAAAATATATCTGATTGTGTATTGTTATATCTGTTTGTATATCTGAGCCGCGGTGGTTAGCCTTCCAATTAGGTGAACCGGTTTCGAATCCCAGCAATGGTTGGTCGATTCAAATACCTCACTCTGGATGCACCGACCACAGTGCTGACATAAATTATCCCCAGTTTTAGACGGTAAATCTACTAGAGTCCCCTTGCAGCTAGGCTAGGTTTCATGGTTTTCCTCTTCATGTAACGCAAATGCGGGTAGGTTCCATTAAAAAGTCTTCCTACTTCTCAAAAATACTTGATCCAGGAGTTCCCTTGTCTTCTGGATAGAATTCAAAATTACAAGGCTACGGAGTTAAATATAGGTGACTTTGTTGATCTTGGTTGGAGTTGAATGGTGATACATTGATACCGAAACAAAGGTCTGCTGACAATTTCCAGCAGTTATATCACAGATTTTAAAAAAGTCCAACAGGTGATAATTTCTTTGAATGCCGCTAAAAGTTTTTTTAGTTTAGATCATTCACCAAATGTATTGAATATATCTTGCATTTAATGCCTCAGAATGAAGTTATGCGCACGATGTTGATGGTGCATTTCATCTATAAAAAATAAAATATACCTGGTGCATTATTTTACTATGAGTAAAGATTCTTAAGACAAGTTAAAATTCTGGGAACAAGATCAGGAAATGTTATAATGAATATAAAAATCATACAGATATAAATACTTCTTTACTTACTCTAACATCATCCGAGTATAAACTCTGCTCAGGTTGCTTTCAGCTTTCTTGCACTGTAACCATTTCTTTAAATATTTATTATTGTAGTAAAACAAAAGTTGCTGTAATAAAAATATAATCCATGAAAAATGTACAAATCAAAAAATTTCATCATACATGAAAAATAAAATTAAATATGCATTTAACACGAAATAATATGCTGAGTAACGATCTCAGCTTAAGAAATTGAGTTTAATGGAAAAAGGGATGGAACCAGTTATAACGCCTTGAACTCTAATGTCAGGCATGGTTGATAGGGCGCTGGACTCACGCACGTGAGAACGGGGGTTCGAATCCGGCAGGCCGAAGACTCCCAGGAATGGTGACTGCTGCGAGTTAAATCTGTCGAGTCACAAATTCCTCCATATTCTCATAACAAATTATGCTTTTTGGGGTACTGGTTCTGTTTAAAATCACGATCTGTGGATGAATGAATGAATGGGTTAGCCGTATTAACGGGTGCGACGAATGAGTGTGGTAAAAGTAGAGTTCTTGGCCATAGATGGCACCACTTGGAAACAAAAACAATCGCACTTCTAGTGCCTTAATGGCCGACGACAGTGACAACTCTAATGGCATTGCGTACTGTAGGTAAATTGATTGAATAGTATTTTAAAATAATATTAGCATAAAATATATATAAAGGAAATTAGAAGAAAAAAAAAACGAGGAAAAAAAACATGGGGTAATATTAGCAAATGGCTAATATTCCCAACACATTAAAAGATTTAAAAAAAAAAAAGCGGGTTCTCAGAAATACCAGCAATTTTAGTGCTATATAAAAACAAATAATTAAACAGAAAAAAATGCTAAATATTATTTAAGTCAATGTGCTCAGTTCTAAAACTAATAATGCAGAAGAGATTTCTTAAAAACTTAGAAAAAATATTTACCATCAGATACAGTTCTATTAAAATTATTAAGTTTATATATCTGTAAACTTTTCATTAATATATAAAAAAAATAATGTCATTAACTGGATAAGCTGATGCATTTTTAACAAAAATTAATGAAGATGCTTAATTTAATAATTAAAGTAAACTCTAACCTTCCAATAATTTCCTCCGTGATCTCCCGTAACTTCCTCAACACCTGCCATCACGTGATCAAGAAGCTGAAAAGAATAATAAACTACATTTAGAGTGTTTAGATTGTTAATCCGTTTTATTGCTTCCGAAAGAGAATAATGCTCCAGCCATAGAACAGACAAAGAATAATACTTATACTTAAACGAAGAAAGAATTATGCCCCTGACGTAAAACGGACAAAGAATAATGCTCCTGAAGTAAAATGAACAAAGAATAATGCTCCTTAAGTAAAATGAGCAAAGAATAATGCTCCTAAAGTAAAATGAACAAAGACTAATGCTCCTTAAGTAAAATGAACAAAGAATAATGCTCCTTAAGTAAAATAAACAAAGAATAATGCTCCTTAAGTAAAATGAACAAAGAATAATGCCCCTGACGTAAAACGGACAAAGAATAATGCTCCTCAAGTATAATGAACAAAGAACAATGCTCCTGAATTAAAATGAGCAAAGAATAATGCTCCTAAAGTAAAATGAACAAAGAATAATGCCCCTAACGTAAAGCGATTGTATTTCAGCCATCAAAGCTTTTACCATTCCAGTCTTGTGTCTGCTTTAAGCCATCGCAGCAAGGAACCTTACTGATCTTATACTGCTTACTTATTTGGAAACATAAAGGCTTCGGGGATTTATAAAATTCTAAATAGTCCGCAAGTTAAGTTTAAATTTAATCGTGCTGTAAAGGATTATTTTTTCATTACTCTGCATAATTCCAATCAATATGCCGACTACGTATAAATTTAATAAGATCAAAAAGGGTGAAGTAAAAATCACTTTTTTTTTTCACATCATGAAAGCCATATATAAACGCACAATAGTTACGGTTCTGTAATGAACTTTTTTCAATATCGAAACACAGAAAGCAAGAGAGGGAAGAACAGAGATACAGAAGAAAATTTCAAAAAATCTACAACGAGGGAAAAATGGGTTGATTAATATTGTATGGGAACAAATTTTAACAATATAAATAAGTAAAATAAGAGAAATAAGAAGAGAATGTAATAAGGCGGGAAGAGAACCATATATGCTCCAAGATGTAGGGGGAAATAAAAAAATTTTCAAGCAACTCCTTTCCAAATGTTTGGAAATCTACTTTCCTTTAATTTCTAAGTTGTAAACTAGTTACGCTTTGCATTTCTCTAACTAGGTAACTACAAACTAACGATGGAGATTAGTGTTAGGAAACTTCAAAAATATAAATATAAATTTTTCAAAACAAAAGTATTAGAATGAAGTTTTTTGTAACATACCCCCAAATTGATTATAATTGAAGCATTTTTATAAGAGGCAAAAAATAAAAATAATAAAAAAGGAATAAAAATCAAAAATTACATTCTTGTCATGAAACAAAATTAAATAAACTTTAAAAACATATTTTTCAAATTTTCCTGATTCGAACTAATTACATGTACAATTTATTCAAAATTGAAAATTTCTAATTCAAGCTTAATTAAAAGATAATATAAATATACTACACTAAATACCTTTTTATTTACTTCTGTGAACATGCTAGTACTATTTTTTGCACCTTGTCTTCTTATTTTCAAAAGATTGACTAAAGGTTTTATCGTTGCTCCCTATAAAACACAAAGGAGGAAAATAAACATTTAAAATTATTATAAACTGACGTGAAAAATAAAAAGAAATCTACTGTAAATTCTGTTATGCAACATTTGATTTTTTATTTATTTTATTTTTTTAAATAACAATATCTATACTAAAATTATGTGTTTAATTTGATAGTACAGTAATCTCATCTCAAAGACAAAAAATAGTTCAGTGCGCCAAATAAAAAACAAACCTGCTTGAATAATTTTTTTTAATGATCGGATAATCACGTTCCTGGATTCAGATTTAAAGGGTCGAGGGAGTAATCATGTATGCTAATTAATTGGTTTGGACGATATTTTAAGCTATGAAATCAGACACAAAAACGTACTTTTTCTGAATAATCACACTTTTTTCTCTGATATTTGATTCCCAAAATACGGGGGTAGCCGCAATCAAATTTTAGAAAAGTCTTATTTTTAAAATTCGATTTCTCAGGAACTATTCAACCGATTTCGCACAAATTTTCTATTCTGCCATATTAAAATTGCTTTCTTTAAAATAATGTAAAGAAAATGTTAGAGTTCGAAATTTCATTGATAATTATTAAATAAAATAATAAAAAGTAAAATAAAAAATAATAAATATGTACTAAAAGTTATTTTTTGCATGGGCTTATCTTTGAAAAAAAAAATTTTTATAATTAAGTGCAAAATTTTTTCATTTTGGTTTAAATTTAGCCAGATATGGCAAAATATGCAAAAATTTTATTTAGCATAAAGGGGGGGGGGGTTACAATTTTGACCAAACTACGTTTCCCAGATAGTGGCTACCCCTATATTTTGGGGGTTAGAAATCCGAATCTGTCAAAAAAATAGTAATTTTATTCAGAGAAAATACATTTTTGTGCCAAATTTTGTAACTTAAATCATCACTTGCACTAATATTTTAGGTCACTCCTTGGAACCTTTTAGTTTGAATCTTAGAATGATGTAAAAATCGTTAGATAAAAAGTTATTCAGGGTGGTGTGCTTAATTATTTTTTTTTTGCGCATTGTACATTGAAAACAATCAAAACTGGAACACACTAAAATAAAGTTTTTTTTCCCAAATCTTGCAAATTCAAACAAATAATGGCGAAATTAAAACAAGTGCTGAAATTTTTTATACATTTGTAATAACCACCTGATCAAAAGATTTCAGAGCCATGCTTGACCCACGGTCCTTTAGTGAAACCCAAAATAATAAGCCCTAGGAATTTCGAGTGAAGGATGTCTTAACATTGGACCTGCTAAACTTTCAAGCCTTTATAATTAAATTTTTTAAAAATTACTTAAAACGGAAGAAACATTATGTATACAACAAATATTAATAAGAATAATCACAATAAGCTGCATTCTTTATCGCTAAATTCAACAAAATCTATAGTCTATCAAATTTTTCTGCTCACATATCCACAGTTTTACGTACAGTAAAACATCTTGAATCGTATGCCACCGCCTCAAACGGATGGTCTACGTTCATTGTAAATGTTTGTTTTGTTTTTGTAGTCGAAGTTAAAATAATATTACGCTACTTTATACAGTAGGGAATCGATTATCCGGAACGACCGGGACCATCGCTATTCCGGATAACTGATTTTTCCGGTTTTCTGAATAGCTACAAAAAGCCGTTTTTTTATTGTTAAACCCAACTGGAAAAAAATTTTTTTGGAAATTATCTTAAAAAGAAGAAAAAAAGATGAAGTAATACACTAATGATTATTTCCAAAATGATGGTAAGGTAAACATCTTTCAAAAAAGAAAGAAAAATCCTAAAATCTTATGAGGAAAAAAAAATTATTTTTTTGAAAATTGCGGGAAAATTTATTGAATTTCGTTCCGGTTTTTTGGTTTTCCGGTTTTCTGAATTCCGGATAACGGGTTCTGTACTGTAGTTTTTAACTTCAGGTTTTTTAGCAGTATCTCTTATTTTCATTTACATAAGTTTGATACTTTTTCACAGGCGCATGTGCATTTCCCCAAAACTGACGCATGCGCACTAGAAGTGCACATGCGCAATCAATTATCTTACGTACGGAAGCTGACTTAACTTTGTGAAAATTTCCTAATACGGTCAAACCCCGCTATAGCGAACCTTCAAGGGACCGAAATTACGGTTCACTATAACCGGTAGTTCACTATATCCGTCCTGCAAACAATTTTAACTGATTTTTCGAACTGTTCCCTTTTATTACACATTATTTAAATAAATGAGCAATAAAAATAGACACAAAAATTATTTAAAAAAAACAATATGTTGTAACAAAAATTTGTTAACTTTTATTTTTTATTACTCTTTGTTTGCGTACAAAAAATTTAGGGATGGCCATTATTTAGGGATGGACAAACTGAGATAGAAGAAGCAAACAAGAAAAAATGCTTATGGCTGCATTCCATTTTATAGATGACTTTAAAAATCAGTATGTGTATTTTATGTAGAAATTTCAAAATTAACAAAAAATAAATATAAAAAACTCAGTCGAAGACAGAAAAAAGTTCATAATATCCAAATTCCTCTCTTCTTTTGGTTCATTATATTCACAAAAAATAATATTACATATGTATAGCAAGGCACGGGAGCGAAAATTTCATTCTTTATATCCGGAAGTTCACTATAAACCATGTTCACTATAGCGGGGTTTAACTGTATTTAATTTATCTTACCTGAACAAAGACAGTAAAGAGGACAATAAAAAGTGTTGCAGAAGTGAATAAATTTTTGTGCTCAATATCGTCCAACATGATGACCAATGAAAAGGCAACAGCTCCTCGGAGACCCCCGTAAGCCTAGAGGAGCAAGCATTGAATAAAAATCAGCAAACACATTAATATCATGAATTACAATAAGCATATATCAGATTAATTCTAATTACAATAGAAATAACATTTTATATTTCTTAAAGAGAAACTTGCATTGAAATAGAACGATTCCAAGCATTATGAAGACGCTATATGGAGGGAGAAACCATTTATGAGAAATTATCTTTCATCTATATAAGTAATTTAAAATATGCATAAGTCAGTTCAGATAAGTCTGGAATAAGCCATAAAATTCGAATTGCAGAAAAAGAGAACTGAAAATGCAAACAAATTATTGCAGGATTACTAAGTATTATGCAGTCCGAAAATGATCAGGCAATAATTAGTTTCCTTTTTTTTCATATTTCGAATTTTTCCATCATTTGAAAATTCAGGGCTTATTCGAGATTTACCTTCACCTACTTTTCTCTAAATTATAAATCTCTTATCTCTAAACTTTTAAATTATTAGTGAAGGGGATACAGAATTTGCTATGAGCTGCACAAGTGCGCACAAATGAGCAGACCTAGTGCGTTCTCCAGAAGTGGTATCCACTCCTTCAGGACTACCACAATGGGTGAGATACCGTTGGTCATGTTAATTTGGACGTCTAGTTTCTGCCACACTAGATGGCAGCATCGAGACTCTTATTTGGATGCTAAAATTCAAAAAATAGTACGTAAAATTCAAAAAATAGTACGAAAGGGCGTTTTTGTGTTGGATTTCGTAACTTAAAATATTACCTGCACTAATTAATTAACATAACTTTAGGTAAACCCCTTGAAGTCCTTATACGTTAAGATTCGATCATTAGATCACAAGTCATTTCGGGTGGTCTGCTTATTTTTTTGCACTCCATTAAAATAAATAAAAATTCTTCGATAAAACTTTGTATGTTTGATACTAGTAAAAAAAATTTTTTTTATTAGTTTTATTGTACTCTTTACAAACCAATTATCGTAAAAATATTTCTATCACTAATTTGAGAATTTTCTGCACAATCCTATTTATATCCAGATTTCTTAAAGGCATATCGAATCATGTCTATGAACTTTTCAGATTAAATATAAATTAAATAATTAACAAATTATCTTTTCATATCTCGTGTTTTAGAATTACAGATTTCTTTACTGATTCGACGAATTATCAATTGTGTCAGTAGAACAATCAAGAAAGCTGTAGCAAGACTTAAAAATTACTTCTTACTAATTAAACACCCATACGGATAAATCAATAAAATTATCAAAAAGAAAGGGAAAATAAACTACGAAAATGTAATTCGGGCTTATATGAGACTTGAAACTTCTTTCATGACAAAGCGTTACATATTTTCAAACGTTCCATGAGAATATGACGATGACAGCAGTTCTTTCTTTCTAATATACCGCAACGCTTTTTGTTTCGGATAACACTTTTAAACGCAGCACTTCAAACTCCTTTTTTGTTTAATATGTAGATTTTGAGCAGCGATGGCACATTTCTTCCTATACTTGATCCAAGAGTTCCCTTGTCTTCTGGATTGGGTTCAAAATTTCAAGGATACGGAGGTGAACATTAGTAGTCGTAAACCCAAAATCTGGTAGTCTATTCAACGACGGTCATAAAATAAAATATAGAGATTTTATGCTGCGTTTAGTGCCTACTAGCAACTCAAAAGTAAAAATGTATAATTAAATATACAAATATCTGCCTCTAATCATATTAAAAAAGGTAACCGATGAAGGAATCTGAAATAAGAAAGGAATTTTAAGAATGATTTTTCTTTTAAATTTTCCAATTTTGATTAAATTCTGATCGGAAAAACCCGGGTTTAAGCAATACCTCCTAGAACAGGGGTGGCGAACCTTTCTACACCAACGTGCCATTTTCTCTAAAAAAATTGCTTAATGAGGTTATAGACGTGCCGTCAAATAATTTTGACTTCGTGATTATTGAGAAAATAATAATACTAAATACTATCAACTCAAAGCTCTTTATTTACATTGAAAAAAAAAATACATTTTGCAATATCTCAGTTACACTCGTAATTCAACTTTCAAGTAACATCAGTATGACTTCTGTTGCAGATTAGATGACAAATAACTTATATTAGGTTGTAAGATGTTATTTTAAGCAGGACTGTTAATTTCTTTGTTGGTTATTTATTGTTAGCTTGTTTTTTATGGTTATTAATTGTTTTTTTAGCATTAATTTTTAATTTTTTTATTATTGTTTATTATTTTGTTTATTTTTTTTGTGAATTTTAATTTAATTGTTACATATGCTTCAAAGTGTAACAACAATTGTGATCGGTGGAGTGCCCAAAATATTGTGTCGCGTGCCATATATGGCACGCTTGCCATTGGTTCGCCATCCCTGTCCTAGAGGATAGGCCTTAGCACGGGTTACTGCAAACAAGAAATTTGATCCTTTAGTAGTCCGAAACTAATGACATTTTTCTTATTTTTCACCCACTGCGCAGTTGATGCTCGTTACGTTAGACTGCAAAATTGATCCGTGTTGAGGCCTTCTCTTTTCTAAAAAGGGGTTCGTTTAAGAGTCTATAAAAACAAGCGGGAGAAACAAGTAAAATTTACTAATATATTTTGCAGAAGCTATAATTGTTTTTGTGGGACACAACCCTCAATGATTGAAATTTATTCGACCCCAGTTCATACAACAGAGCTGCCAACTTTCTACGCTTTGTGGGAAAACTTCTTCTGATGAAAGCAAATTTTGATTAAATGTGCGATTCTTAATTCAGTAATTTTAATCCACAATTATTTTCCGCACTACTACAAGTATATGATTCAAAAAGGTTATATGAAAAGCCATTTTATTATAGTTCTTTCAAGACGAAGTTTTAAAAATGTTTGCAATATGACCCAAAATATAGTAAGCTTTTGTTTTTGATTATCTACTACTCTATAAAATATTTTTCTCAGAGCACAGTAGTTGACAACCCTGGTGCTATAAAGCAGATTAATCTTTAATTTAAAAGCTATGTAAATTTTTTAAAATGTATTACCATTATAAATTGTTCTTCCGTGTTAATCCGATGCGTCCTTTCTGTTTTATTGGCGATGTAAGTCAGGAGAAAGACGCCTAAGGGATAAAATATTTCCTTTAACAACTTCTTTCAAAGAATAAAAAGTTTAAAATCATAATTGCTTCTTATAATTTTACAAAATTTAACCAATTTAAAAACTAAAAATTTCGGTTTCTTATACAAAATGAGTACACAGCAATCGAATAATGAAATTTAGTATTTTAAGGCTAGAGAGAGAAGGGTTATTAAAAAAATTCAAATTTTTAACTGCTAGAAAATATATGAAACTTAATATATTTAGCGACTTGTAATTTTTATTGAATATGTTTGTCTAAATAGTGCGATCAACTTTGAAAAGAGGCATCATTAACACTAGAAAGACAAACTTAGTATATACCTATACTATTGCCCATAAGATTGGATTGTGAAAGAATAGCTAATGTGTAAAAAAAAATTTTTTTAATTAATTTTTAATATATTTTTTACAGTTATATAACAAGTTATTAGTAAATATTAACAATAAAAAGAATTATATGTTGTACAAAAAGTCACAAAATTCTAAGAAATTGTGTCATTATATACATCATTGTTTTTCTAATTGAAATTAAAAAGCAATCAAAATGACTTCCTTGGGCAATCTAGTGATGAAACAAACATAATAATGAAGTTTTATATAAAAGAGTAATAACCATATACATTTATGTAAAAAAAAATTTTAAACATGAATAAAAAATATAATCATTTATTTTATTTCATTTTATAAAATTTTAGTCTTCCAAGAGATTAATTACACTACATTCTTATTATCAGGAGCACCTAATCGACAACTTTGCCCCCGGGCTTCCTACACATCTGCCCACCACTGCCTTTTCTTATTAGATAATATATTCATGAAATTAAATTATACTTATGATTAAGAAATATTTCCTTGTTTTCTCAAAACCACAACTTACTTGCAAATCGAACAAAGAAACAAAGCCCTGTTGACCAGAATACAAATCCAGTGTGCCATATATGCTGATCATCAACAAGTACCATCCCAAGAAACAGAAAGATGACGGTATCACAAACTGCACTGCAATTAAAGGTAATATTATCTACAGGGTGTCCCAAAAAACTACAAATGATTTGAAAAATCTAGAGAAATGTATAGCAATGTACAATTTGCTGCATTCCACTTAGGAAACTAAGTAATTTATTCTTAAGAAAGTTGACAAAATTAATTAAGAAGTTCGTCAACAGATAACTTTGCTAACCAATAACGCGTATTTAAAGTATGAAATATTTTTTTAAAAGAACTATATGCTAAAACAACATTGCGTAGAGAGAAATTAAAATTAACAGACATACATTCAAACATTTCAGCTGAATACTGTAAAAAAGTTTTAGTCTATCCTACTATCAAAAATTGGTTCTTTGAGTTTCACTGCACTAAGAACTAAGGATAGTGAAACACCAAGAATGTTATTTTGCACTACTTGGTGTGAAGTAGCTAAGACTATTTTCATAATTTAATATCAGTAAAAGAGATAATTGTAGTAAGATATTAATCACAAAATAATCAGTAAAACTATTCTAACGATGCAAAACTCTCGTGGTAGGTAAAACAATTTTGTTTAATTTTAAAACACAAGAGCTTCTTTCACTAAAATTTTTTTTTCCTTAACGGCCGAATATGTTGACATGTATAAATTACATAGAAAGGCTTTTTTAGAACATTAAATGCCACTATTTTTATTTTTTCTAACAGATTTATTTCTCGGGATTTCTCCTTTTAAATAATTATTTCGTTTTCAGTGTCATTTGGTTAACTAAAATGCAAGGACCTGCTAGTGCAATTATAGTAATTTTTTTGCAGATAATCCAAGTATACAATAAAAATGGGGGTTTATATTTGAGATTTTAATGTTAACTAAGACATTTCCTTTGGCGGATTGTATAAGATCGTTTCCATAACTTTTAAATACTCAAGATATGTCTTTTAATTCTGAATAGTTGTAGCCAGGCCCGTAGCCAGGGGGGGGGACGTCTGGACAAATCCCCCCCCCCGAAATTCTGGGATTCAAACTTTTTAGTCTTTCTTTGAGCCTCTCNTATCGCTAAATTCAACAAAATCTATAGTCCATCAAATTTTTCTGCTCACATATCCGCAGTTTTACGTACAGCAAAGCATCTTGAATCGTATGCACACAGCTTTAAAGAAATAGTCTACGTTCATTGCAAATGTCTGTTGTGATTTTGTGGTCGAATTTAAAATGATATTCCACTACGTTAGAGTTTGTAACTTACGGTTTTTTGCAGTATCTCTTACTTTCACTTACATAAGTTTAGTATTTTTTCCAAAAACTGACGCAGATTTAATTTATCTTACCTGAACAAAGACAGTAAAGAGGACAATAAAAAGTGTTGCAGAAGTGAATAAATTTTTGTGCTCAATATCGTCCAACATGATGACCAATGAAAAGGCAACAGCTCCTCGGAGACCCCCGTAAGCCTAGAGGAGCAAGCATTGAATAAAAATCAGCAAACACATTAATATCATGAATTACAATAAGCATATATCAGATTAATTCTAATTACAATAGAAATAACATTTTATATTTTTTTTAAAAAACTTGCATTGAAATAAAGCGATTCCAAACATTGTGAAGACGCTATATGAAGGGAAAAACCATTTATGACAAATTATCTTTCATCTATATAAGTAATTTAAAATATGCATAAATTAGTTCAGATAAGTCTGGAATAAGCTATGAAATTCGAATTGCAGAAAAAGAGAACTGAAAATACAAACAAATTATTGCAGGATTACAAAGTATAATGCAGTCTGAAAATGATCAGGCAATAATACCACACTTTGGGAAACACTGTACTACTCTATAAAATATTTTTCTCAGAGCATAGTAGTTGGCAACCCTGGTGCTATAAAGCAGATTAATCTTTTATTTAAAAGCTATGTAAATGTTTTAAAATGTATTACCATTATAAATTGTTCTTCCGTGTTGATCCGATGCGTCCTTTCTGTTTTATTGGCGATGTAAGTCAGGAGAAAGACGCCTAAGGGATAAAATATTTCCTTTAACAACTTCTTTCAAAGAATAAAAAGTTTAAAATCATAATTGCTTCTTATAATTTTACAAAATTTAACCAATTTAAAAACTAAAAATTTCGGTTTCTTATACAAAATGAGTACACAGCAATCGAATAATGAAATTTAGTATTTTATGGCTAGAGAGAGAAGGGTTATTAAAAAAATTCAAATTTTAAACTGCTAGAAAATATATGGAACTTAATATATTTAGCGACTTATAATTTTTATTCGATATGTTTGTCTAAATAGTGCGACCAACTTTTAAAAGAGGCATCATTAACACTAGAAAGACTGAAACTTAGTATATATCTATATTGCCCAAAAGCAGTCAAAATAACTGGATTGTGAAAGAATAGCTAATGTGTAAAGAAATTCATTTAAAATTAGTTTTTAATATTTTTTCAATATTATTTAACAAGTTATTAGTAAATATTAACAATAAAAAATTATATGTTGCGCGAAATGTCGCAAAATTCTAAGAAATTGTGTCCTTATATACATCATTGTTTTTCTAATTGAAATTAAAAAGCAGTCAAAATGACTTCTTTTGGCAATCAATCTAGTGTTAATGTTGTGAATTTCATAAGAATCCATTACGAGTAAATTATTCTTTTTTCGCCACTAAGGTGGTGTTTTGTGTTCATTGTGTTGATTTTTTTTGGTTTAAGAAAAATGTTTCATAATGAATAAATTTTTCATAATTTTGAAACAAATATAATAATGAAGTTTTATAAAAGATTAATTACCATATACATTTACGTAAAAATTAATATGAACATGAATAAAAAGTTTTAATAAACCTATAATCTTTAATTTAATTTTATTTTATTTTATGAAATTTTAGTCTTTCAAGAAATTGCACTTTACTCTTATTATCAGGGGCATCCAACACATATGCATACCACTGCGTTTCATTATTAGATAATATATTCATGGAATTAAATTATACTTATGATTAAGAAATATTTAGTCTTGTTTCCTCAAAATCACAACTTACTTGCAAATCGAACGAAGAAACAAAGCCCTGTTGACCAGAATACAAATCCAGTGTGCCATATATGCTGATCATCAACAAGTACCATCCCAAGAAACAGAAAGATGACGGTATCACAAACTGCACTGCAATTAAAGGTAATGTTATCTACAGGGTGTCCCAAAAAACTACAAATGATTTGAAAATCTAGAGAAATTTATAGCAATGTACAATTTGCTGCATTCCACTTAGGAAACTAGCTTTTTTATTCTCAAAAAAGTTGACGAAATTAATTACGAAGTTTGTCTACAGATAACGCTGCTAACTAATAACGTTTATATAAAATATAAAATATTTTTTAAAAAAAATTATTTGCTAGAACATTGCGTAGAGAGAAGTTAAAATTAATAGACATACATCCTAACATTTCAATTAAACACTGTAAAAATTTTTAGTCTGTCCGACTAGCAAAAATGGTGTCAACTACTTTACACTTAAGTGGTGTTGTAAAGCACCACAGATAACTTTTGGTTCTTTGAGTTTCACTACTCTAAGAACTAAGAATGTTATTTTACACTACTTGGTGTAAAATAGCTGTAGCCATTTTTATTATTTAATATCAGTAAAGTAGATAATTGTAGTAAGATATCAAACACAAAATAATAATGTAAAGTAAAATTATTTTTACAATACCATACTCTCGTGGTTGGTAAAACAATTTCTTTTTTAAATTTAAAAATCAAGATTTAAAACAAAAGCGCTAAAATTTAAAACAAAAACGAAGCAAAAATTTTTCCTTAACGGCCGTATATGTCGCCATATATGCGTTACATAGAAGGGCTTTTTATAACATTAAATGCCACTATTTTCTTTTTTTCTAACTGAGATATATTTCCAGAGATTTCTTCTCTTAAACAATTATCTTGTTTTCAGAGTCATCTGTTAACTAAAATGCAAAGACCTGCTAGAGCAATAACACTATTTTGTTTTTGCAGATACTCCAAGTATGCAATAAAAATAGGGGTTTATATTTAAGATTTTAAAGTTAATTAAACCATTTTCTTTGGCGGATTGCATAAGATCATTTCCATAATTTTTAAATACTCAAGATACGTCCTTTAATTTTGAATAGTTAAGGCAAATTAAACTACATCAATTTTCTAACCAGTAGACAAATTTTGAAACAACGTTCTTGACATTTAATTTTTAAGGAGCTCTGTTCTACTGCTTCAAGGTAGGCCTGAGACAGCTGACAACGGAAAAGAATCATATTGATAGATATGATAATTGTTCCATTCCGATGAAAAATCTTTTCATTTCGTCAGATTCTTTACCTACGTCATCAGATCATCATACATATTATTTACTTCTATTAGCATGCATATTCGTTTGATTCATTTCAATTCATATTTTTTAAATCAAGAATAAAACATTAAACTTAGGATTTTGATAAAGCCAGATAACTTTTAGAGTGGTGACTTTTGATATCCAAGTATAAAGGGTTAAAATAAAAACATACTTACCTCACCATTTTGGTGAAATATTTGACCGTTGTGTTTGATTTATCGGAAATGTTCTTGGAAGCATAATGAGCTTGGACAATACCACAACCAATAATACTGAAAGAGAAAAGACACTGGATTTTTTCTTAATTCGCATTCATACATTGTAACAGAAAAAAAACTGATTACTTATTACTGATTGTGTGTTTCTGTTCTCAATGAAAAAACGCGTGTTCGATAAGTCTGAAACGAGTTTAAAAAGGTTCCATTTTAGGAGTTGCTGAAAGCAATATGCAAATAAGCACTCAACTATGGCCAGGCACCTAAACCAGTTTTCAGGATTTAATCTTCTAATGGTCGTGATAAGAATATCACGTATTTTAGACCTCAGTCAGACGATGTGGCTCTTCAGCTAGAACTCCTCTCTCAAAACTTTCCCCACCACAACTAATAAACCGATTTTCAACAACGACAAAATTAACGTGCCCCTTGCACCGAATACACGCTGGTTGGATAGCCGGCTACCGCCAATCTACCGTCAGCTCTCCGCCAGAACGTTTATGGAATCGCATGTTTGACGAAAACTACCATTGCACAATTGTGCTTAAGAGTCACGTAATTTAAAGCAAGATAATCTGATGGCTTACACTCATAACACTAGATCCCATATCACAAATGTCTTAACACAAGTCGCGATGGCTCAGAGGATAGAGTGCTCACTTCCCAATGAGTTGACACCGGTTCAACTCCCAGCGATGGCTACTAGATACAAATTTCACACCTGGCTCACACCAACCACATTGTTGTTAACCACATTGCATGAATTGTTATAAGTTTCTAATCATGTTTATTCCCATCTCAGGAAGCAACAAAATTAAACAAGCACTTCTTATTCCTATCATGCTTTGTAAAATGGGACATCAATTCACATACAACCCGTATGACATGCAACAAAGACGTTTAAATGCAAAAAAACATGTAGCAAAACGTTTCCAAACATTGTTCTATAGCATTATTTCTGAACAGTGCTACAATTATATACAGAAACAATGTTTGTTCTGAAATAACACTACGTACATTGTTTGATAACAATATTCCAATCATTGTTAACAAAACAATAATGTACGAAATATTGTTTCTCTAATAAGACATTGTTTCTCTGACATTGTTTCCCTTGTTCTTAGACATTGTTCCTATACATTTTTACAATAATATATGGTAATAACGTTTCTTTTCAGAAACGATTGTTAACGAACAATGTTTAGTACATTGTTATCAAACAATGTTTCGTTCATTGTTATCAAAACAATGATAACATTGTATGAAATACTGTTCCTCTAACAAGACATTGTTGTCGTGTCAAAAAATTAAAAGGTCTTGCTTCAAACATAAGAGTTTATCAGTATTTTTAATACCTGCAAATTCTTGTAATGTTGTACTATTATTTTACTCGATTTTATCCCTTCATAACATAATTTTCCTTTAAACAACGATATAAAAAAACAATGCTTCCTGACAAATTACTTGCGCTGTAGGAATAACTTGGTAGATAAAAAGAAAGTTAAAAGAACATCCATATAATTAATAATAAATTATAAGTTGCAACGAAACAATAGCAATTTACTAAATACAAAATGGTGAAAAATTTACCTAATAATACCAGAAAAATGAACCATTTCTGCGAGTAAATACGACAAGTAGGCAACTCCCAGCATAGCCAAAGGTTCCACAACTAAAATGCAGGTTATTGGATATATCAAAAAGAGCAAAATTATCAAGTCATGTTAACGATTTAAAAAAATTAAGAAAATAAAATTAGTTAAAGTTAATAAAAAAATTAATTAAAAATTAATAAAAGATGATAAAAAATTAATAAATTAAAAATTAATAAATAAGAAAATTAATAAAAGTTGTACAATAAAGTCAATAAAGCGAGCAAGTTATCAAACAAACATGCAAATGATAAAACAAAGTCACGTTATAAAGTTAATAAAACAAAAAATTATAACATTCCTCATTAATAAGAAATATTTGAAAATTCTTTTCTCAGGGTATCAAGACGGTAAGTATTTTATTTTGATCCAGATTTTAAAAATACTTCAAAATATTCAATTAGTCAGTTCAAAATGGACGTTCGAAAAGTAAAATTTCTTTGTAGGGTTAAAAGTAGATATTGTTATAAATTAAACTGTTGATGATTTATTTTTCCAAATATAAAAATTGTAGTGATGCTGGCTTAGAGCTCTGCTTGATCAATACTAAGTCATTCAATGTGAGTTCAATGCACATGCTTGAATACCAATGTTTCATAAAATTCATCTTACATCATGTTCTATTATTCTCAGGTAAGCAAGAGCAAAATCATCGCGAGATGACAGGGAGTTTGATAATTGTCTCAAACAATGTGTTAATTTTTTTAATATTACCTTTTTGAAACATTTTCCTATAAACAAATTTAAAATCAACAGTAATTGAAATAAAAAATTATATAGGTATCTACTAGATTAAATTAAAGGGGGTAATGGCATGATTGTGATAAATTTTGACAATCTAGTGTTTGCCGCAAGTTATAGCATCATTTTCAGTGTCTAATGATAGATAATCTGTAGTTTGATTAGTTTTACTTGGTAAAACGTGCTTTCTTTAATCTAATAACGCAAAGTCAACGAAAAGACCAACAAATAATAAAAAAAATATTGAAATTCATTTAAGTCTTTTCAATTGTGTTTGATTATTGTTTTCAATGTTATGCAGGATTGCGGAGTCATAATTTTATAGATTTATTGCTTATTTTCTTCTTGCTTTAGGCCGTACGAAGAACAGATATTCAGCTATATTAATATAATCACCTCTGACGTCTTCAGTGTGTTTCGTTATCAGCGCGGTGAGTATTCCCATGGCAATTCCAATAGCAAGTCCACCAAGACTGACGCAAACAAAAGCAGCTATTCCTACAGCTATCTAAATATATTTAATGACAATTAAAAGTTACATTTTAAAAGTATCAACACTTAAAATAAATATTTCATTTTTATTTTATAACCGTCGTTGAACAGCCGACCCAATTTCATGGGTTTACGACTACTAATGTTCAACTCCGGAGCCTTGTAATTTTGAACCAATCCAGAAGACAAGGAAACTCCTGGATCAGTACCCCCAGAGGTATTGATTTGTTATGGGAACATGGAGGACTTTGAGACTCGACAGATTTAACGTGCATCAGTCACCATTTACTACACGGGGAGTCTTCGGCCGGCGAGGATCGAACCCACGACCTCTTGGATATGGGCCCAGCGCCCTACCGACCAGGCTGATTTTCAGGCTTTTAAGTAGCTGATTTTCGAAAGATATTTCTGAATGTTCTCTCTATTAACACATTCAGTGCCTATTTTTAAGAGGACGCTGTACCAAAGAATATAGAAAAGAGAAGTACAGCTCTTGGAATACGCAACTAACTCGGGGAACTGCTCGGTTCGGTATGCTATTCCAGAAAAACAACATACAGGGTGAGCAGCATACTCAGGTTTAACAGAGCATCATATGTACTAAGATCCAAGACATGTGCATAAGAAGCAAAGTGACTGTCAGGAGGTACGTCACCTGTAAACCGGTTGCTTGGCAGCTCTGCATGTATGGTTGGTACGCTACCACTCGCACAGCTATTTTATTCTTTCTCTACCGAAATGTGTTAGCAAATTTAATCAAAATGAATGATATTAATGTTTTCTCAGAGGAATATCTTTATTAGCAGTACAATACTGTTTATCAGTAGTGTAAAATGCAGAACAAACCAACAATAAATAAAAATAATTTTAGTTTTAATTTCGCTTTTTGTGTATTTTTCCATACTTCTAGAGCACTGGTGGCCCCGCGAGGCCTTTTTTGTGGCCCGCGAACTGAAATATATTAGTTGTCATTTTTTGCGACAACTTTCGTAACAAATCTATATGGTTTTAAAATACTTTTCTTCCGATAAAAAAAAAAACTTAAATTATTCGTTTCTGTGAAATTTAACATACCATCGGTGCAAAAAAATTTATTTCTCATGTTTTGCAACTCAGAAAATATTTATTCAAATGCAAAAATAATCGTGTATGTTGCTTAAAAATCTACTTCTGATATCAATTTGTAATTCAATACGTTTGTTTTGTACAACTTGATAAAAATCTAACAGTAATATTTAATGTTCTTTAAAACATGAGAGTCCTAGATAAAATTTTGATAAAGTTGCGGCCCGCCATTTGACTGGCGTTTTTAATTGCGGCCCCCGGCCTCATGTAAGTTGGAAACCCCTGTTCTAGAGCAATGGATACCAATAGGCGGCCTGCGAACTAAGATATATGAGTTGTTTTTTGCAAACAATTTTAAAAAAATCCATATGGGTTTAAAATACTTTTCTTTTGTTTAAAAAAAAAAAAAACAAATTTCTTCGAAATTAGGACAGAAATTAGGATTATGTTAAATTTTTGTGAATTAACCAACGGTGCAAAAAAAAATTTCTCAGTTTGTAGCATCCAGGAAAATATCAAATACAAAATTAATCCTGTGTGTTGCTTACAAATTAACTTCTTATTTTAATTTGTAATTCAATAAGTTTGTTTTGTACAACTTGATAGAAGTCTGACAGTAATATTTAATGTTCCTTCAAACATAAAAGAGTCTTATATAAAAAATTTTATGAAGTTACTGGTCCCGGCCTCATGTAAGTTGGAAATCTCTGGTCTAGGCAAAGGTATCCGGAAAGTTGGTTTAAGAAATTGAAAAAGCAAATTTTTACTTACTTATTGTTACCAGTTACCTCGTAGAAAGTATTTTATATAATGAGTTTCAGTCACATAGTTAAAGTGGGAGTTAATTAAATTATGAGTTTTCAAAAATGTATGTCTCATATGAATAAAATGCATTGTACAAAATACAAAATTTATACAATGTACAAATTCATACAATTTTTATACAATGTACAAAAATGTATAATTACTTGTTCAGCAGTTATATATTCCGCTTTTGAGAATCCTACCATCATCATATAAAGCACAATGGTAACGGCATCTAAAATTATAACAAGAACCTCCTTTTTTTTTAATCACGAATAGAACTTAATTGATAGGCTTGGGGCAATACAGTGATAACCCGCACTCTTCCCTAATGGTGGCATTTTTATGGTAAACAGGTTTTTTAATATTCCAGTTAACGAAAATAAGATGTTGGAATTTTTTTTTTTTTAACAGAAAGTGCTATAATAACTGAGTAATAGGAAAAATGCTGTTTGTCATCATATTGCTCCCAAGCCCCCTTAATTAAATTATTAGAGTGTTTAAAAAAAAACTGCAAAAGCACACAAAAATAATTTTGTTGAAAAATCAAAGTACCATTTAGTAAAGATTCTCCAAACACTAAAAAATATAGATTTTTATTCACTCCTACTTCTTGGAAAATGGCTAGAACCTGAAAAAGAAATTAAAACTCAAAATAACTTAGAACACTTTTTTTACAAATAAAGATATAGGGTATATCTTATAACATTACAATTTATTTAAAATTTTCTAAAAACAAATTGTTTGCTCCTGGCATTGTTGGTGTTGCAAATGAAAGAATACAAAAATTTATTTAAAAAGTATGAATTTTTGATCGGTAGAAAAACGGCCAGATATGAATATTTCTTTATATGATAAATATATAATCTAATATAATGAAAATATGATTTAGCATAATAATTATGATTAATGATAAATATTTAATTTAATATGTTAAATAAAAGCATTTAATCTACAGCCCTTTGAGAGCTTTGGGGTCATGGAGGTTAAGGCTCAAGGATTCCGTGACCAACGGCATCAATGGGGCATTGCGCACAGGTCACATTTACTTCCCAGACAAGCTGTATCCATCGATCTGAATATGGGTGGGCAGTTGGGGATCGAACCACAGTTCTTCGCTGTGATTGTTCAATACCTTAACCGTTGATACATCATGGCTTAATATGTTAAATATATAAGTAGATTATTATACATAAATGTAAAAGATACATTTGTATTTGAAAAGTTAATTTCACACTATCTTTCAAAAAAAAGGGACTAGTGTACATTTGCTCCAACATGGTACAAAATCAACCATTTATATTTAAACGAAATTTTGCTACAGGTTGCCTCAACCGAATAAATGTAACTTGCTCTTGCGCCTACCAGCCCAAAGAATCACTCCCTTCTCGTCCATAGTTCCTCAAAGAAGCAAAAAATCGTAATCCGAAGTGGCTAAATCAGGGCTATATGATACATAGTGTTAATGTGTTGAGATTAATTACTCCAGGTTGGAAATAACTTACGTTTTTATTTTGTTTACATATTTTCACAACATCACAACCAAAAAACATTAAGACTAAAACAAATAAGTGAATTCCGAACGAGAAAATGATCAAGGCATTGTTCTCAGTTCTAGGATCGAATGCCTATCTCATCGCCGAAATGGCGCCACTCTAACAGTAGTATAAAAATCTTTAAATCTCCGAAAAAAGACAAAAAGTCTCCCAAAAAAGAAAAAAAAAAGAGACAGAAGAACGTACAAATGAACGAAGAAAAGATCACAAGTAGTTTTTAGATCATACAACCCTCATTAAAAGTTAAGGACACAACGGCTGCACAGCGCCTAACTATTATTTATATTTATGTAACAAAACATTACTCCAACTAAATTTTAGCACAAAAAGAAGAGAGAAAATCACTCGGATGCTTCGGGATCGTATGATTTATACTTATCTTGAAGTAAACCAATTGACCATGCAATTGAAATTCACTCAAAGCAGCAAACTTTTAAGCAATAAATACAAAATTTGCTCAAGCATTTTGCCCAAATTTTTGCCAGGATGATTCCCCTTTAGTGGTAGTAAAAGGTCATGCAGAAATATAATTTTTTGGCTCGTAAGATCTTTAACGCACCATCTAAAGATTATCATACTGCCACTTACATGTTTAAATTATTTATATGCAGGGATTACCAAAATCATTTTTAATTAAATTTATCAAGTCAAGAAATAAATGTAAATCAAATTTTATTGTCTCTTTAATTAGAAAAATAAAATAATGTTGGTAGTAGTATGCGAGATAGCTATCCGATATTAGCAATGATGCCAACTGCTCCGCTTTCTGCGAAACTTTTAATAAATTAGTAGAATAAAGATAATAAAGCCCATTTTTGCAAGTTGGCATCTCTGTGAAATATTAAATTGATTGTCATAGGAAACCTCTAATGCAAAATAATGCACTTACCGCTACTGGGTCCACAGCTGATATAAGGGCACTGAATACAAGGCACTCAACCATTTGCAATTTAATATCACTTACAGCCCCATATGAAGTTAAACCATATAGAGAAAGACCTAGAAAACAGAATCAGAAAGCACAATTTAAAAAGAAAGTTAATTTTCCTCAGGTTTTTATTCAACTGTATTAAGTCAAAAATATAGATTTAGAGTATTAATTCAGCTAAACTAATATAGAACTTACCAATAACAAAGCAATTAATTATGGTACCCTGAAAAAAAAACAATTTTAGTATCTGAGATGCGTTCGAGTTTTTTGTCTTTTAACATAACAAAGGAATATAATTGAAATATTTATTTTCAAATAAAATCAATTTGATAGTAATTTTTATGCATAATTCAGCAAACTCATTTTTTAAAACATTTTACTTAAATGAATTAAGAATACCTAAAACAGACTAAGTTATGATGAAAGGTTTCCTTATTCAAGTTGCGTTTCAATGCCGCAAATTTAATGTACCTTTTCCAAGTATTATTTTGTTTAATGTTAAAGCCAATGCTACTTGAAACAACGTTATCAATGAAACAGACAGTGGAACTCTTGAAAAAGAAAATTATCATAACTAAGATTTTAACTAGCATGTGAACTATTTTCTTTAACTAGCATCTGAAGGGAAAAAAACGATTGACTTGGACGTAATTTACATATTTACATTTAACTATATAAATGTATAACTTTCTCCTAGAATCTAAATACAATGTCATAAATGGTAGTGAGAGATCTGCTTAACTAGAATAATAGACAGAAATTACATAATATTTTTGAATTGAATATTATTTATTAAAATATATTATTTATTCTTAGTTGTAGTCAAAATTATTTTAAATTTAATGTATAAATATAAAAATTCATTAGGGAAGCATTAACTTTTTGAGACATTTTGTTTTTATGTACTTGAAATGGTAGTAAATTCCAAAAAGATTAACGGTTATGCAATATGCAATTGAATAAACAGACATAAAATGCAATGACTTTAGTAAATGACATAGATTCTATATACTTTGCCACTAAGTATCAAAGTTTTGGACAGACATGTTGGATTTTTAAAAATAAATAAATAAAAAATTTATTTCAACTGTTACTATACGAAGGTTAATTCCAACAATATTCTTTCAAATTAAGGTTATGCAGTTATCTAGGAAATAAATCCAAGAATAACTATGCTTAATTAGGAAAAAAAGTATGGCATAAGGAAAAAAAATATTATTAGTTTTGCTTATTGATCCTTAATGTATTATATGGAAAAAAATTAGATCTTACTACTACTGCATACAAGACAATTGTGCCAAGGTTGCTAAAAAATGCTCGATCATGAAGAGAATATGCTGATTCTAGAACAATCCTAAAAAAGATGAAAGATACAATCCATTTAAAAACTTGCTACGTGAGACAAAAAAATTATAGGAATGATAACACTTATATCATAGGCTTAGAAAAGTATTTAATTAATCCTTCCTGCAGTTTAATATAAGTATTATTAATTATACAGAGATGCCAACGTACTTTGGATTGCAGATAAATATTTTCTAGTGGTAACAAATTCATCATTCTGGTGTTGATTTTAATGATTAATTCTTGGTTTAGTTTTGATTTTATAAGTTTTCACTCACAACTAATTCAAAATTATTCTAGGCCTTAGATAAAAAATACCACTTCACGGATACCACGGACGACTAAATATGTAAAAAGTGGTAGAAACTCAATATTTATTCATTTAGAATTTCTTTAATCAATCAATTGTTACTACTACTGTAACTTACATTTTAAATTATTCATATTTAGAGCTAAATCATTCATAGAAACCACTTTCAGTAGTAAACTGAAAATAATATGCCTTAAAAAATTGCTAATTTTAATCTCTTTTTAATAGAATTTTTAATTTTAATAGACACCAATTTATGCATTTTTAATATTCTGTGGCATCCATGGAGTTGAAATACTATCTCAACTCTATGGTGGCATCCCTGCTTTTCGTCTCGCGTTGAGCTTTTGGCAAGTTGGCAAAATTAACCAATACTCTGTAAATTCTACTCTATAGCTCTCTACAGTTTCAAAAACTCTTTACAGAATCCAGAGCAGTTTGCATGTCTGACTATAAAAAGGATGGAGGAATATTAAAAATTGGGGGGAAATGATAGTTGTACTTCCTATAGTATAATTAAGGGCGTTTCCGTTCTATTTTAATACAGGAAGTACGGACTATTTAATAAAATATCAAAAAATACATTGCGATGTGCTCGAGACAATAGTGATAAATTACTCTTATTTCAAATTTGAAATTTCTACATCTTAGCATTGTTTCCAGGTACTTACAATAGATACAGCCAGAAACTCCCAATAGATTTCTGTAAATTACACAGAAAACTTACAGTCTATGTGCTGTTTTTCACCTAAAACGCTCTTTGACAACATTAGATGTGGATTATTACATTACCTTAAGAAATTTACGGTAATAAATGGCTCAATTCTATGCATTAAATTAAAGTGTAACTCTTGATAAGTAGAACATTTAATAACCAGAAAGTTTTATTAACTTATATAATAAGCAAAAGTACAGCAGCTACGTTACTGATTGTGTAAAAAGTGTGCCTTACTACTATATTGCATCACATTTAGAGAAAATATGCCTTATAATGTGCCCTATAAATAACCTCACATTTGGAAAATGTGTGACTTACCACCTAAATGCCTCACATTTGGAAGATGTGTGGCTTACCTCCTTATTTCCTCACATTTGGAAAAAGTGTGGGTTATCACTATATTATCACGAATTCGGAAATATGTGGGATAACACTATATTGCCAACTCACATTTAGAAAAAATGTGAGCTTGTTATATTACCTCACATTCGGAAAAAGTATGGCGCATTATTGCCTCCCATTTTGAAAAAGTGAGCCTTATCACTCTATATTGCTTCACATTTGGAAGATGCGTGGCTTACCACTTTATTTCCTCACATTTGGAAAAAAATGTGACTTATAACTATACTGTTACGAATTTAGAAAAAGTGGGGCTTATTACTATATTGCTACGAATTTGGAAAATATATGGCTTACCGCTATACTGTCTCACATTTAGAAAAAATGTGGTTCATCTATATAGAGTCTAACATTTCGAAAAAAATGCTGATAATCCAGGGCTGTCAAATTTCTACGTTTTTGGTTAAATTCTAGTGGTAACTAAGTTTTTGTTCTAATGTCTAATTCTTTGTTTGTAAATTTGATTTAAAATTGCTTTCCACAACAACATATAACTGATTTAAAAGTAGTATTTCACAGCTTTCTAGCAGTGAGGCTTCTAAATAAATTGCTTCAATCTTTCAATTGTATAGTTAAAAATGTAATGAAATTGTTAACACGTTGAGCGCCGCGTCAGCCACCGGTGGCTGACACTGAAATTACATTTAGGCTGTGTCTGCCACCGCTTGCTGACACTGACCTTTCACATAGGCAGGCCGCGAAAAACAGCTGACTGACAGCGTATAACATGATATAGAACTATAAAATTTGCACTCTCTTATGGAATTGCAGAAAATGCATTAAAAATTTACTTACTTATTGTGATTCTTGGCTTAATAAATTCAATTGAACAATTCGTAGGCTTATATAATTCACCACTTTTGTCAGATATGTCATGATAAACCCAGAGATGCCAACTTGCTCCGCTTTGTAAAATAGTATTTTCCAGTGGTAGCGAAATTTAAGCTACTTTTAGTTTAGTATTTTTCATTTTAAGTAATTTTTTCCCCACTAAATATCAAAAATTGTAAATATGATATTAAATGTAACGTCAAAGCATCAATCAACTGGTTACTGTATTAAAAAGAAGGCGCAACTATCTTTCTTTAACGAATTTTTCTATATAATTTGCTACCACTTTATTAAAACTATTCCAGAAAGCGGAGCAGTCGGCATCCCTGTAAACCATCTAAAAAAATAGCAAAATCCGCCTAATATTTGCAATTTTAATTTGTAGTTATGTAAAATTAGAGTGGCGCTCAACGTGATAAGGCGAGCTCTTTTGGGGAAAAACTAGATATCCATGCAGTCAATAAAATTTTTCTGTGTTTTGTGCTGGTATTTATTAAAATTTCGAAAACATGCAGAGTACCAATTTGAAAACAATACAAAGGTATCGAATGATAAAATATCACCTTTAAAACAAGTGAGACTTAGAAATATGTTCCTAGGAACTAGAATTATTTACATTATTCAGCAGATACAAAAAAATCATAGAAATAACAGGATTTTGAAAATAAATATCTTGTTTTGATATAGGTAACTTTGACAACCTATGCTAATACAGCAAAAGAAGAATCATGGTTGTAACAATAATAAAATTTTTAAACGTTCTTGCACACAATAGAGAATAGCGTTTGAAATATTTTTAATCAAACATTTGAACAGTATTAAAATTAGATTTTGCCTTGATTCTAATTTTGCTACTAAGACATTTTAGATACACTGTCGACATCGTAAAATAGTGGAAGTCTCATAATTATTTTTAATAAATAAAAATATTTTAAAATCTACCAACTTTTACTAAAAGTTTTTATTTATATGAAAAAGATTCTCCTTCAAAAAAAATAATTTCATATTCATATTTATAAAAATAAAGTACTGGTTACAGAAAATAGGCAGTGAAATAATCAATCGTATGAGTGAATTAATTTGTCTGCAAGCAAAATGCAATTGTAATTTAAACGTATTTTCTGAAAAAATATATTTTGAAGTGAAAAATGTTGGTAGTAAAAAATTTTGATAAGCCAATCAAACTTTTTTGTTAAATAAAAGAAATTATTAATAAAAATTAATTTATATTTAACTAGTGTAAAAAAGTAAATGATGATTAATCAAAGTTGGCACGCACCTTGAAAAAATTCATAACTGATATCTATTTTGTTACAAAGAAACTGAAAATTTCACATTTTCTACCTTCAGCTGTATACAAATTTATTTAGAGAAAATTAAACATTCTGGTAGCCATAAACATAACATAAAAAAAGGTTATTAGTATTATAACTATTTAATTTTTTTCCAGGCGTGTGAGAATCCTGATTTATGTATTAATTTTTTTCTGAATTAAAAAAAAATTTAAATATATATCTACATTAGATAATTTTTATGCTTTTTAAATTCACTTTTTTTATTTATTTCAGAACAAGTGAATAGAAAACCATTAAACGCAGATCTTCGAAAACTTTTGTAAAAAGAAAGGAAGTTTTAGTGAATGATATGCTACTTTTAAAGTTTGTGTGAAATGTCGACACGGTGGTAAGTTCCAATTTTGTGAAAATGTAAAGAGTTTATGATCTAGTTTTTATACAAACTTATTTGAAAACTTACATTAATGCTGCATTGTGTGGTCCTAAAAAATTGTAAAAATTGAAAATTATTAATTTAGTTTAATAATTTCCACTGAGACAGAGGAATCATGTGATTTGTAAATAAAGTTTAATATTTTTCGTTTAAATATTCAAGCATAATTACATGATATGATACCGAGATATTTCCTAATAAAAAGATTGTATATTATAATTTTGCATCGGGCTTAAGGAACTTATAATAGGGGAAACACACAAATGTTTGATAATATTAATAACGAAAATTATTCTTACGGTGGCAGTAAAAAGAGGAAAAAGGCCTTTGGAGTAAACTGTGGAAGAAATTCCCTGGACTGGGTGAAGCTAAAATAAAAACATCTTTAAACAATGCAGTAATTTCAGTAATACAAAATATCAAAAATAAAATATCTTTTTGTACTTAGTACAGTATTAGAAAGCACTATTCTGCGGATATAATCGTGTGAGATGATGACGAGATTTGTTTGGTTAAGTTTTCTTACTTTTTTGCTTTAGTTTAACAATTTTTTAATCTTTTATAGACATCGACTTTTTGCACAACTGCAGCAATTGACAAATTTAGCCCCCGATTCTAAAACTCGCTTGAAATTTTCAATTATTTTGTTTGGTTTGAAAAATAGAATTCTTTTCATCATCTTAGAGCTCGCTGCCATTGGTAAAAATAAAACTGCTGCAGACGATTTTCTGTCTTTCAAATATTTTCAACATTTTATCACTTTTCACTAGCTTATAGTTTTCATTTAAAAAAAAAGGTTTTTTGCACATTCTTTAATGTTTACTTACTTTTTGTTCGTTACGTAAGATAAAGGCAATGATCAGAATTTGATCAATAAGAATATGATAGCATTGGAGAATTACGTTAAAAACGCGAATCGCTTTTCCTAAATAAGTTAAAATCAACAGTAATTGAAATAAAAAATAATAAGTACCATAGAAAAAGACTAATACGAGTTTTCCGCGAACAACAGCTTCAGTTGATTCTGAATACAGTTAATCTTTATTTAGATTGAATGACTATTAAAGCGTGATTTACAAAACCTATTAAAATGTCTTGTCGTCGGGCTAACAGTGAGGGTTTTCATGGTTTTCCTCTCCATGTAACGTAAATATGGGCTAATACCACCAAAAAAGTCCTCCGCAAAGTTTAGTTTATCCCAAAGCTTGATACAAGAGTTCCCCTGTTTTATGGGTTGGGAACAAAATTACAAACGGTGTTGAACATTGGCAATTGTAATCTCAGAATCTGGTCGGCTGTTTAAATGCCGTTATAAAATATAAAAACATAAATCCACTGGGAATACCAAAATGTAATATTGAATTTAAAAAATTTATTATTTTAGCTTTATTAATTGTCTTTCACTTTTGTGCTGTACTGTTGTTCAATACGACCAAAATAGATGCGATTAATAGATTTCTTTACAAATTTTAACCTGCAATTAAATAGGTATTGATGTTTTGCAAACCTCGGCATCCACAGATTTTGATGTTAGACTTCTATGAAATTTTTTTGTTTTTTCATCTCTTAAATAAAAATTTTCTTCAAGATTTATTTGAATTATTTTGATTTATGTTAAGCTCCGAAGACCTAGTATCCAATATTGGACAATATTGAATATTATTTTATTACTTAAGTAATATTTCATGATTTTTTTCTGTGTTTGAATGCCTAACAAAGCGATTGTCTATGGAAAAATATAATTGGTTTTACTTTCGTTAGTCGAAATTTTTAATTGTAATTTTAAAAAAAATACAAGAAAGACAAAATGTTTGAGTCACGTAAACATTTGGACATTTCTATCTGAAATATATATCGTAGTGGATTTTGTTTCATAACAAAAATGTGAAGAAAAAAAATCATTAAAAGTTAAATATGTAAAAAAAGCTAAAACCTAAAAAAATTTCTCATTCTTTCTTAGTAGTAATTAAGGTAATAAAAAATATTAAATTCTTTCAATTAATCAAGGCTAATCAAGTTTTCTTCTGAATTACTTATTTTTAAATGGAAAAAAATGAAATTATTTAAAGCTTGCGTTTCAGGAAACTAAGGGCGGTTTTTACGGAACATCTTTTATATTTCAAAGATAATGTAAATTATAATTCATAAAAATTGCATTAAAAAAGTAGACTTACTGAACTATTGTTCCTACTATAATGCCTAGAACAATCAAAATGCTGAAATAGAAGATAATATATTCATAAATATGAAAGGAATATTTATATACATAATAGGAAACTTAAAAATAGAAGTTGCACGTTATCTAGAAAAGTTTAAACTACAATTCGCATTTTCAATTAATGTAAGAGAAACTACGAAGACTATATTTTTTCTATATAATTACAGAAATGCCGCGTACACCTAAAAATGTAATAAATGGTTTTTTTATTTATTTAATCTATAATGATTCAATCGTCACTACCATCTACATTTAGATCGCAAAATTTTTTGCATTTAAAACGGAAGTATTCTTTATTAACAATTTTAATAGTAAACGAAAAAATATACTTGAAAAAATTACTATTTTAATCTCTTTTGATTTCTGTTTTTCGTTGGACACCATTTTTAACAAGTTCAGGCACACGTGGCATCCCTGTATTTAACAATTTTAATGTCTAAAATGAAAATTATAATATATTAAGATTTTTAATTAATTTAATATGGAGTAACAATAATGGAGTTACAATATGGAGTTATAATAATATGGAGTTTCAATTTATTAGTGAATAGCAACTTAATTTAAATGAACTTTACATGAATTTTTAAAGTATAATTTGAAGTTGCACTGCTCGAGAACACTAAAGAAAAATACTTAAAAAATATATTTCTTTGGCCTAAAAAATATATTTACTGATGTTTGTGTGACGCATTTTCGAACTTTCTCTTAAAACTTGACAATAATGCAAAGTGGATATACGAAATGCGGGGTTTGTAATCCTTAACGCGTTTCGCTGAACATAATTCTCGGTTTCCACCAAATTTATACTTTAAAATATGCCGGTCAGGTGGCCGAGCGGTTAGCGAGCCTGACTGCGAAGCCAATGGCCGCGGGTTCGAATCCCGCTCTGGGCATGGATTTTTCTCTCTCCCTTGTTGTCCTCTGTTGTGTGCGATGTGTGAATGTGGCCCATCCTATGAACGGGTGTGCGGCAGTGTGGCGTGGGAATTGTTAGTCTCCTCCGTGATTTTGGTTCACAGGTGCCCACTGGGTAACGCGAAATGAGTAACACCTCTGGCATCTTCTAAGGCGAAACGAATAAAGTTCAGTGCCTGCCATTCGAAAAATAAAATACTTTAAAATATAATTCTCGTTTTATGATTCCATTGTCAGTTCAATGATATAATTATGATATAATCAGACGAGTAATATGATATAATTCCCGTAAATTAAAATGATTCCGACAAACACGTAAAAATAAAGAAACAAAAAAATAATTAGGGAGTAAAAATTCTACTCTTCCAACTTCAAATTTGTTTCTAAACAAAATTTTAAGCTTTCAATTTTTTTTTCTCAATTTATTTCATTGTAAATAAATAATTTTGCAGCTTTGAAAAAGGTTGCCGATGAAAGCGTATAAGTTTTTATGATCTATATTTAGCAATAAATACAAAAAAAAAAAAACTAGGCTTTTATCGAAAGATTTATCCCGATTGGTGCAAGGTTTATGCACAAAACTTTTTTTTATTTGTTTAATAAATATGAAATAAATCATGTGCAACATTAGCATGCAAAATCTCTAATTTTGTACGCATCTAGAATTTGGTCATTAATGAATGATTCCAATTTAACGATAGGTATTTTACAGATCACAGAGAGATTTCTAAATGTTCAAATTTAAATATTTACCAAGATTCCGGCAAGATTGTTGATAGGAATTCAGCATGATGGAAACCTGCAAAAAAATGCATTTTTTGAGTATAAAACAATTAATAAGCAGTAACATAATTGAAATTATTTATTTAATGATAAATTATTTTTAACATGACACAAAGAATAAATTTGCAAATACAAGTGAGTAGTAATTTTCGAAAATTCTTACTAGAAGAGCGAAGCTGTTAAAATATAAATTTTAAAATATACCATCCAATATCCCAAGAAATAAGCATTGAATCAAAAATAAAAGTACACGTGAAGCAGAAATTTTCATAACAGGCGTTCAGACACCAAGCTTACTCCCTACGGGTGGGAACAACTTCAAAATCTTAAATGAAAACTCCACTTTTCTTTACGATTGACATTCTCCGGAGAACCACCGCAAATTGACATGCAATTTCTAGAAATTATGGCAACTAGGTGGCTCTCTAATCGTGAAATTGAAATGGGGTGCAAATTGCTTATAGTTCAAAAAATACATGTCGGATTGGAAAAAAAATAAAACTTGACCCGCTTAATAATTTGAAACAATTATCTACAGATACAAAATTTGATCTCTACTTTGAGGCTTTGTGTACTTCCAAGGAGTTGGTGTCCAGTTTGGTGTCATTTTTAAAGGTTTTCCTCCCTTCAAAATACCAAGCAAATCTATTTTTATTCTTTCTATTTACATTTCTCGAAATCTCAATTTTAATAGATTTGTACCCCATTTTAATTGTATGATCTATGCGTGATCCAAACTGAAAAACCTCAAATCTATGTATTTTCCAAAAAAACTGCCCATTTTCTTTTTAATAAAGTGAGTTTTTCTGCTTTCATATCTTGAGGTTGAGGTTTAATGCTTTGTATCATTAAATGCTTATTTTGAAAATAAGCCACTCTTGCTATCTTAAATTTTTTTTTATAATCCAACTTGCATTTCTCTAAACATTAGACCAGGGGTGAGGAGCGTGCGGCCTCTAAATGGTGAGAACTTACTCAAAATTTGAAGAAAGAACACTTGATTCAAAATAGGAAGAAAAACCTAGGTACAACGTTGTAAGCTTACTCAAAGTAGGAAGAAAGAACACTAGATACGAAATGATGTAAACTTGCTCAAAATAAGACGAAAGAACTCTATTTTCAAAACGGTGAAGTTTACACAATAGATGAGGAAAGAACACTAGGTTCAAAACGGTGTAAGCCTACTTAGTATTTATAGGTAGAATAATAAGTACAACGGTGAAAGCTTACTCAAAATACGAAGATTAGAGTACAAGGTCCAAAACAGAGTAAATTAATTCAAAATAGGAAGTTGAAACACTAAGCTCATAATGGTGAAGGGATAATAAGTGCAAATGGTGTCAAAATAGGAAGAAAGAATACTAGGTTTAAAACTATTCAAAATGGGAAGTAAATACAGGAAGCAAAAATCCTAGTCTATCTCACCAGTAAAATATAAAAAAAAATTCTGTAACTGAGATATTTATCTAAGAATCGAGTGAAATTTCGGTTATAATTTCATCTAACTTACATTTTAACGAAAATCATATTAAGTTGCTTAAATCATATGAAGCTAGTTCAGTTCTTAGTGAACTGAAACAGTCTAATAGATTACATGTAATATAGCCATTGAGAAAAATTTAATTTCAAAATAAAATGATTTAAAAACAGACTTAAATTACGAGAACGGAGTAGGAAAAAAAATCAAAGTAGTTTTAAATATATATAGAGAGGATATACTTTTTAATATAGATTCTTTCATTAAAAATTATTTCTTGCTAGTTAGTTATACTAGCAGTTTTTCTCCTTGGGATAACACATTTAAGAAAAAAATTGAAAGAAAAGATATAAGATGAAAGGAAAGTTTTGACGTTTATCGCTTAAAAGTACCCATTTGCTGCTTTTATTCAATTTCAGATAAAAGATGCTCTCAGAAAGAAATGGCTCTTTGCTTGATTCAATTCTGTAAAGTTGAGCAAAGTCTGAAAAATGAGTGAAACAAATGCCCAAAATGTAAAAAGAACTACAAATATTTTTTATTCAGCACTTAGTACTTACTAAGTGCTGCATAAAAAAACGGAACATCTTAATAACCTTTGATTATATCGTAATGGTTCAAGGGTCTAAACTAATTAATTTTTCAAGATTGGTTTGGATTCTTGAGCCTCAAAATGTGAAGATTCGATGCTATCGGGAAATAAGGCGGATTTGGAGTAAAGTGATGGCAAGGTAATTCCACCTTTTTTGGTACTGAGGTACATTAAAAAAATTTTACAGCGTTTGAAGTTGGTTTTATTTATTTTTTCACTGTTGCAGTTTTTTTATATTTATTAATTTTTTCTGAGTTTGTTTATAAACACATTTCATCATCCACATTAGAATCAATTTAATAGTTTCGATGCAAAAACATTTCTTTTAATAAACAAGCACATTTTTAGTGAACCTGTTGAACAATTTATATCTTGTAAATTTTATACAATTTTTTGCACGATAACTGCAGTTCGGTACCTAAAAAAGCATTCGTAACAACTTTATATTTGCGATTGTGTTTGTAACAATTTTATATTTTTAGTAGCAAATACATTTTTATGTACTGAACTGTAGTTAGCGTACAAAAAATTATATAAAATTTAAAAAATAACAATTGCTTGAAATAATTAGTGCGGATATATTATTAAGAATTTACTTTTATAACGAAATGTTTTTGCAAAGAAGTTATTAAATTGACTCTAACGCACGTGAAAATATATGTTGTCGTTTAACAAATACTCAAAAGATGAATAAATAAAAATAAGAAATGTAGAGGCGAAAAAGTAAATGAAAAATGTGACTCCAAGCTCTTCAAAAAATTTTAATATATCTAGACACCAGAAATGGTATCAAGTACTTTACAAATTTCTTATAGTCATTCATATTCATTATCAACGAGCGAGTGAAAAAAAGAAATTAATAAAAATCTAAGTAACAAAAAAAAACAATGTTTATTTTTTTGAAACGGAATTTGATGAAATCTCAAACTACCACTTTTTCTAGAGTAAATACCCATAATGAAATGTTTTGTTTCTAATTACACGCTAAAATATATTAGCGATTTCTTTAACATCCAGTCGAACACAACCAACATTTGACAACCAATAAAACTTTAATTATTATTAATAAATTTAATAATTTTTAAGAAACTGGTATCTAATTTAGATTTTTTTTAAAATAAAATTTAAGTTTTAGTATTTTTAGTTGCTTTATTTTACACATCCTTTATCTTCAGATTTTCTGTGAATATTCACCTGTACTTTTATAGAAATTCGAAGTCAAGAAAGATATTGATTTCGTTACGTAACGAGTCTAGCTTGACAAATCCTATTAGTTTCTGTGTGAAAGAGAAAGAAGCAGTGTTCTAATTCGGTATTTGGATCTAAGTTGAAGCTTATATCTAAGTTTTGACTTAACGCTCGGTTAACAGTTAACTCTACGTCCAAAAATGGAAAAATGGCTGGTTGTCCATATCCCAGTTTCTTTTCATGGCAGTTATTCTAAATTATGTGTCAGTTTCATTCTTCTTTCTGTTTTATCTATCTTATTTTAATCTTTTATCTATCATCTTGCGCGAACTCTTCTATTTCTTCATTGGTTCTGCGGTTTCCAGTTCCTTGGGGCCCTGGGATTCAGTAGAAAAGTCACGGGGGTTCCGTGAGTTTGGACTATTTTTAAAAAAGTAATGATTTTTTTAAATTCTGTTATAGATTTGTATCCAACTAATTATCCATTATATTTTTAGTATTAAGTTGTTTTTTTTAAGATTTTGATTTAATTTAGGTTTTAATTAAGGTTTTGATCGAATTGTTTGCTGCTCAAAAACCGCAAGATTCATGCACTTGGAATTACGTAGAAAAGTTTATAGAAATACAGTCAAATAAGAAATTAGTTCAAGTTTTATTAGCTATTAAAGAAACATGCATTGCACTCTATACAGATTACAGAAATGCAGCTGTTGAATTAAATTTTGAAAAGCTGAAAAAGCCTTATTTGTTTATAAATTCCTTTTTTTTTTTTTTTTTGAAATTCCATTTTGTTTCTCAGTTATTGCCTTTTCAAGCATTTTTTATTGTTTAATTTTTTGCTTTAAATATTGACTATTTATTCAATGTTGTAGAAATGAAATTGAAAAAGGATTGAAAATTTGAACAAGATATAGGGAAAGTGTGAACTAATAGCAGAAATTGAAAAAGGATTGAAAATTTGAACAAGATATAGGGAAAGTGTGAACTAATAGCAGAAATTGAAAAAGGATTGAAAATTTGAACAAGATATAGGGAAAGTGTGAACAAATAGCAGAAATTGAAAAAAAAAAGCGTGTTGTATCAGACAAATATAAAAGTACAAATTTGGTGATGATGTGGACCACATGTGCTACCGCATAATGTTCCTTATTGAATTTGTCTGACGAAGCGAATATAAAATAATTAAATATTTAAATGCGTGCAATAAACTTTTTCTTGTGCTCAAAACGAGCTATAAGTTAGAAATTATAGCTGATATTATTTTTAAAATAAGTTAAAAACTGAATCGCTTATAATAAAATTTAAAACAATGACTAACACTTAACCCATCTCGCTCATCCCTATTTAATGAATGAATTAATATTTGAAAAAACTGTATTAACATCTGTCATCCACTACAAGTCATCCACAAACTGTCATCCACTACAAGTTTAAGAAAATTTATTTGATCTTGAGTGGATGAATAAAAAGAATTTCATTAGCGATTGAAAATTTGAACAAGATATGGAGAGAGTGTGAACTAATAGTAGGAATTGAAAAAAAACAGATTACATGTTGCCAGATATAAATCATTTATAAATATTTTTTTTTAAATAAAATTAAGTAAAAACCCCAATTCCCAATTTGAACAGTATGTGAATCTCGTTAACGAGTAGAATTGCCTCTTATTTATTTCTTATCAAGCCACACAACTTGTACCCCATAAGACAATTTTTCTTCATGTTTCATAGAATATTTTTCAAATCCAAATAATCCGTCACTTCGTTAAGAATTACATATTGGCAATATGGTCTTGCATAAAACTGTAATGAGTGCATAGTTTGTAGAACTTATATTATAGACCATGCCTTTATTCATGAAAAGGTGCCCCAACATACAGCCGAGTTAACATGTCTTATATACTAGTGAATTGTAGTTGTAATTTTGTATTGGTAGATACGCTACAAGTTTAACAAATTTTTTTTTTTCTAGGAAAATATTGAGTGCTAAGAAAAGAAAACAATGAGTCAGGAGCAATAACAGGGTTTGGGGAGGAGGGCGACTAAGGGAGGAGCCTTCTAGTATAAACAAACAAAAACAAAAAAAAAAGTCTTTCGTGAATGCAGCGAGTGCATTGAAATGCACCTGATTACTCGTTTTACTTCTTAAACTTATAAAAAGGAAAGAAAACTTACCGATCTTGCACAGTCCAGCGACGATGACAACCGATGTGTAAATGAAAGGTGTCCTAACATATTCCCACTGCCACGATGCTACGTGAATGGCTGAATGTTCATCATATTCTGTTCGATTCGTCGAATGAAGTTCACTCCCGAATGGTGGAGCCGAAACTCCATCCGGAATTGCTGTTTTATAGTCACTTTGTATGAATTCCACATCAGCCTTGGTATTTGGCTGCAAAGGATGGCGTTGATTTAGCTCTAACTCATTTGGTATGTGGACACTGTCGGCTGAAATATAATTAACACATAATTAACACTCTCATTACAGCAATGGCGCGTCCTTTGTTCCACCCTCTGCTCTAGAAGTTCACTGCATCGCTAAAACTTAAATAAAAAGCAAATTCCTATTAAACTTATTTTACTCTAAAAAATAATAATCAATTTCAATCGATAACAATACTCACAAATACAGCAATGGAACGAAGCGAATAGTCATGGAAGACTAGCTATCTCGCTGGCCGCGGTAAAAGATTTGAGAGAACATGCAACAATGGCCAGAAAACTATGCAAATCTTTAAACTTTAGATTTAAATTATAACTATATTTTTGATGGGAAAAATAGATAATTCAAGCCTAAACACAGGGGTACATTTTTAGAATTGATTGGGCGAATCCCAAAATAGTTAGAACTTCGAATCACTTGAAAACCAGAGACCACTAGTCGGATGACCGACATTGCTCACTTAATTTAAGCTTATTTTAAATTATTATTTATTATAATTAAGCTCAAAATAGTTATATATTAAGCTTATTAAATTTTGAATAAATGCCTTACAGATAATGGATAATCTCTAACTAATTTTTTTTTTTTTGGTGCTTATGCCTTAAAACAATTCTATCTATCTTTTAGGTTCGATTCTCTGGCCGGGCAAGGTTGACTCAGCCTTTNCTGCACCCCAGAGTCCAAGGTCAAGAAAACTGAGATGGGCACAGTAGGCCTTAGCCCTCTATGAGCTGTCGCGCCGCTGAGTTTAGTTTAGTTAAGATGCAAATTATTTATCTATTTATATTTTTTACTGCAAACCAGGATAAATTTTAAACATTGTTTTTCTCTTTTTCTTTACGCAATGAAAAAAGCCCCATTATTCTAAGATATTAATTGTAAATCAGTCGGCAAAAAGCTGTAAAATTTTGTCAAATCCTATTAGTTTGCTTGATAACGTATACCTAAAATTTCGACAAATCCTATTAGTTTGCTTTGAGAACGTATAATTAAAATTTTGTCAAATCCTATTAGTTTGCTTGATAACGTATACCTAAAATTTCGACAAATCCTATTAGTTTGCTTTGAGAACGTTTGATTGGTATCGTTTTATCATAATCCTACGAGTATTATTTTTTGAAAGTATACACTTATTCAAATTTAAGGAACGAATTGACAAAGGGTTGGTGGGGAGTTTATAATGAAATTTAATGAATAACTGAAGAGCTTGAGAGCTATATAATAAGCCACATGCTTAAATTGTTTAAGTTGCAGATTTCGGCGAAAACATAGCGATTTCTTAGTAGGAAATTACACTTTTCTATTTATTGTGCTTTTTCTTAGAAAATTTAAAACTTGTATCTCCAAACAATACTAAGGAACAGTTTGATGCCAAAATGTCCCCGTTCCTAAAAATTGTGACTTATTACATTGCTCCGGTGCTGTTAAATATGCTTTTATCATGAGATAGGAGGTAATCTTTTTCTTCCGCATCGAATAATGTAATGCCATGCAATATACAAATATATTGCATTGAACATAAAAAAAAATCGTAAGTAAACTCTATTAATCATCTATCTAAATCAACATTAATGATCAAATATCAAATTGGTAAAAACACCTTAATTTATTTTTATAAGTCACTTTTCTTAATGAACCATTATATATCATTTATGAACCCCTGGATATCGACAAATAAGTAGATAGCATTAAATAAATTTTCCCAAGAAACTTAAACGGTTGGATATTACCTAATTAAAAACTTCATTCACTTCAAAAATATGTAAATTGGAAATTACAGTAGACAAGTTTCAAGCGCTCTAAAATAAGCACCCGTTTTCACGACTTGCCAGACATGAATAAAAAGAAACAAAAGTGTTTTGAAATATAAATCGTAAAGTTGCCAACGAAAAATGGAAGAACCTGGAGTCTTGCTTTATTCATACGAATGCTGATCCCCTTGTTAACGACATTAGTTGTCACTTCGTTGCAGGGGGAAAGTCATTTTACCCTGATTTATCCCTCTCGGCCATCGTGTTTTATTTATTTATTGTTTTTTCAAAATCTTTTTATCTCTCTTGGCTACTGTCATTTTTCTAGTTTTGTTTCCTACCTTTATGTTTCCCTTTCTCGTAGGCAACTTAGCGTTTTTTATATTTCAAATCACTTCTGTCTCTTCACATTAACGTCTGGTAAGTTTTGAAAATGGGCGCTTATTTATCAGAGCTCGAAATATTTCAACTGTTATTTTCAATTCTTATTATATTTAGATTTTCAATTCTAATTATATTTAGATTTTCAATTCTAATTATGTTTAGATTTTTAATTCTAATTATGTTTAGAAAGCTTGTTTATTAAGCTTTACAAAAGTTCGTTTTAAATAACCCTTTGGCACAGAAATAAACCTTTGACCTGAATGGAGTTATATTTAACTTTTTAATAATTTAGGGTTATGGAATACAACATGAAACACTAGTTCTGCTTTCCTTTCAAACAATGCTCACTTACAGACAAAGATTTCTCAAATTTGTACTTATTTGTAGTTATTTAAATCTAAGAGAAACAGATATTCATCATCGAAATTTATTTAATTTACAAAATCATTTATTGATTAATTTTTAAATATGGAAGAAGAAAAAAATTTCAAACTAATTTTTGGATTTTATATTTCAGTACAAATAAAATGCTGATAATATAACAATTGCTTTTGTAACATTTAGACTGTTTTTTATAATTGAAAAATACTAATAAATATATATATAAAAAAATAGATAAAAGGGACACCTCTGACCAATCTGAGTCAAAGGGTTAATTTCTATACATAATTTTCATCATCTGCAGTTTTTTTGCTTTCAAAACGTTGTTCACGATAATTTAAGTGACTCTACAAACTAAGTAAAGTTTAAGTACAGCGTTTTAATATTTATATATCAAAAACATCTAATACATTTTAACAATTAGTAGTCACTGTATGTCTTATTATTATTATTTTCTGATATAATTTCAAGCATACAAAACTATTTTCTTTAAAAAAAAATACGATAAAAACATCTTCGTTATGATGCAAAAAAATTGCTCGCTAAAAAATTCATAATAATAAAATTTATCACACTATCCAAACAAAATACTTCATTTCTTTCTAATAGCTATTTTAATTAGTAATGCCTGTAAGTGAGTTCTACAATGTAAATACAATGTGAGTGTGAGTTCCACAATGGATACAATAAAAATTAAAGAAATAAATTTCAAAGAACGCATAGCTGAACACATACCTGAAGAAATGTCATCTGTGTGGAAACTGTTTCGTTTGACTATCCTGGAAGGCTTCAATTCTTGGGATGATGTAGCTCCGACTGTCAACCATCTTGGACTCGTTAAAAAAATTAAAAACAAAATATAACACTGCTGCATCCGTTGATGTTTAATAGTAATGGGACGGGATCTTTTAAAATTTCAATGTACCAACACAGCTCTGTAAAAGAAACTCAATGTAAAAATTACAAGTTCTTTAATTCCAACTTTGATGTGATTTTTCAAGCTACCACAAAACTATCGCACTTAAAATAAAATAATTCTGGTTAAAAACAGAATAAAAGAAACGTATATAATTGAGAATTCCAATTCCTCTAAATCATAAATTTTTTTTTTTCATTAAGTAGCGAGACAGACCACATTAAAACATTAAAAACCACTGAAATCAATAACAGTTAATAGAAATTAATTGGTTACTTTATTGCTTTATTAAAATTACATACATTTGCAGGCTTGTTTCCTCAATTTAGGCTTATAAACCTTTGCCAAGTAGAAGGACAGATAGAACAATTTAGAGAAGGAAATCACAAAGAATACATCCAGTTTTACGACAGGATTCGAACCCGTCACCTCCACGCTTCACACAGCGTTTGGCGGGTGATATCGCTCGACCAGGGAGACTTAACAGCTGACAGTAATAATAGTACTTTATATACTACATCTGCACAGTAGGCTACTGGCGACGTTCTGAAAACCTTCCTGGAAGATTATCTGAAGACATGTCATTCCAATTTCAGTTATCCTCAGAGGGGATCACTCCCCCGCTTTGGTAGCTCGGTTGCCTGGGGAGTGAAAGTCGAGCACTTTAAGATAGAACAGTTTAATGATGACAGACAGCACGCATCCTCTGTCCCGTTTGTAGGCTTACGTGGACACAAAAGAATGGATTCAAACTCAAAAGCTGAGTAGCGTATTCCACCAAATGTTATGAAACATAGAGGTATGGGGTTCAAATCCCACCCAATTCTAGATATATCTTGGAGTTTCCTTTACCTATTTTTGAAACATGATCTTCATTCTGAGAAAGGTTTATAGGCCGTTGTTTTTATTGAGCCCAAAAGCCCTTATATATATATATATATATATATATATATATATATATATATCCAAATAACTAAATAAATTATTAATTAACTATATTTTATTATAAAAATTTATAATAAAGTAATTAAGGTCAGGATAGCTTGGTTGGTAGGGCACTGGGCTCATGTCCAAGAGGTCGTGGTTTCGATCCCCGCCGACCGAAGTAAATTGTGCAGTAAATTGTGACTGATGCAAGTTAAATCACAATAAATGTCGAGTCACAAAGTCCTTCATGTTCCCATAACAAATCATAACCTCATGGGATACTGATGCAGGAGTTTCCTTGTCTTCTGGATTTTGTTCAAATTTACAAGGTTACGGAGTTGAACATTAGTAGTCGTAAACCCAAAATTGGGTCGGCTGTCCAACGACTGTTATAAAATAAAATATAAAGTAATAAACCATTAATAAAGTAAATCAATAGCTGAAAAGATAGTGTGCATATCTGCAGCATTGCTTGCTCAAAAAAATCTTTCATCCAATTTATTCGTAAATTTTTTAGTAAATCTTACAGTGGCAACTGCGTCTGCTTTCAACAGGAATACTACTTTCTAGTTCAGCCCGGAGTTTTGTTTGTAAAAAAAAAAAAAAAAAAAAAAAAAAAAAAAAAAAAAAAAAAAAAAAAAACAGAGTCTATAATAATTTTAGATGTTCTAGATTGAATAGAATCAAGCTTGGTCAAAACTGTTTCTGAAACAGATGCCCAGATAGGGGAGGAGTAATCTAGTACTGACCCGATGACGCTGCAGTACACGCTTTTCAGTTTAGAGGATCTTGAGTCCCAATTTGTGCATACATAATTAACAAAGAGTGTTTAATTTCTTGAGGCATTTATTCGCTGTGTTTCCCTTGGCCTTCAAACCAAATTAACACCAGAAGACATTTTCAACTGTCAAGCTTTCTAGCCGGGTTTTTTTTTCTCTTCTTTTTTTTCGAACTCGTCTCAACACCAGAGGACACTCTGTCAAGTCTTCAGGTGCCAGAACTCACAAAACTCATTCTTCAAAGTTATGGAAATATTTAGCATAGAGGTTTCGAAAACGTAACGCCATAGACAAGACAACAACAACATTCATAAATTTGTAGTCTTAATTACTCAACACGAAGGTAGGCTTATTTACAAAAGATATTGAAGAACCCCAGTGCCTTAACATGAATATCAAGTGAGCATTCAATTTTAGATTCAAATATCTGATATTTCTTTTAATGTATTAAATTTGATATTCGGTTTCTGCACAAATCTTCAGACTTCTTGAACAGTTTATATACCTTTTTATTGGGAAGTATTTATAGTAAACAATATATATAAGGTATCACAAAGATAGATACACGGCTGCGGTGGTAATCGAACCCGCTACCTCTGAGCTTAAAAGCATTTGATTGAACGACAATACTCGTTCACCATAAATACTCCTGAAATCAAAGCAAGGTGGGATGTGGTTGTTGTTGTGACGGTTTAAGTAATGGGGTACCAATGCATTTACGAGCTGGTAATATTTTTTTTTTGAAGTAGGATAAAGGGAGGTTTATAAACCCTTTCTAAATAGAAATACTGGTGCCCCAATTTGAATAATGATGATGATGAAACAAAATAAAGCTTTTGTGAAAAGAAATAGCTAGTCTAAAGTCATTAAGGGCCTATGTTATGAAACATAGGCCCTTAACGACCTTACATATTCATGGTATTCATATTCATATTATTGGTAAATATACACATATTTACCAAGTTTCGCTTTTGAGAGGAGAATTTTATACAGCATTTAAAGTTTTGTTTGAGCCTTTGAACTATTTTAAAGCAGTGGTGACACTTTTTATTTAAACTATTTTAACGCAATGGTGGCAAAAGTTTTGTCCTTACTAGAAAAAATTTACGCTCTAAACTAAGCAAGCTTTCATATTTGGTAATGCTAGTACATCACCCATTGACATTGCTTTGACAACACTTCGCAGGGCTGGTCGTAAACAAAGAATCCTACAATAAAACCCAAACTTAACTACTACTGGAAGAAATTTTCCCCAAACGCATGGAAAGTTAGCAACCCTGCACTTAGTAGTAATAAGATAAGTGCCTCTTCTTTTCAAGAAAAAATGGTTGGTAATCAGCGATGCTAAGTTAATAATGTCTAATGGGATCACCATTTTAGTTTAAAAAAAAATACTGCATTTGATTAACTTTAGATCAAAATTATGTACAGGTCAAAGCTTCAGAAATAATTAATATATTTTGGTGCTCAAGAAAGTCTTTGTTTTACCCAAAATTCATCTTTTTAAAAAATAAAAAAAACAAGCAAGTAGGAATTACGAGTGAACAAAAAGTCATCTCATGGGATATAGCGAGACGGATAAGAGGAAAAAGTTGTAGTGTTTTCATTTCAGTTTTAACTAGTTTTTCGGGATGAGTAAATCCATTCCTTTTTCAAACTTTATTATTAGAAAAAAGAGCAATTTTTTATATATGCTAAAATTGTAAAAAAAAATACCGGTAGTTACAGAAATTTAATTTCTATCCAAAAAAAAAAAAATCTAATTGTCAAAAAAATGCCAATTATAAATTTTTTGAAGATCCTCAGTGCAGTGTAGAGGCGACTGATGTTATCTTGAAGCCAAAGCTCTGTGAGACGATCACCATTTCAAAGATACTTTAGTTGAAAGTTAGACCAATTCCTCCTGAATCTGAACCTCTGCTGTTTCAATATTCACAAAAGGATTGATTAAGATTGCACATAAACCGGTTGGGGAGTATGTACCAACTTCAAAAAGATTTGACGAAATTTATCTGGACATATTTGGATCTTTAATAACTTCCGAAGGACAAAGATATTGTGTAACCCTAATGGACAGGTTTACTCGTTGGCGAGAAGCCATACCGGTGCCTGATATTAAAGCTAACACCGTTGCAGAAGCAATTGATGGTGGTTGGATTTCTCGCTTTGGAACACCGTCAATAATAATTACAGATCAAGGAAGTCAGTTCGAGTCGTCTCTTTTCACCGAACTTGCCTATCTCTTTAGGAATTAAGCGAAGGCGAACTACATCTTACAATCCTGCTTGCAATGGGTCTATGCAATGGGTCTTGCAATGGGTTTATAAAGCGATGGCATCGAACTCTGAAAAACAGCATCAAGTGCCATAATAATCCTCAGTGGACGAAAGTGCTACCTACTGTACTACTGGGACTACGCTCCTCTTTCAGAGAAGAATTCCAAACAACTCCTTCGAAATAGAGATGGGTCAAAAGTAACGTAACAGTGACTTGTCACAGTGACTGGAGCAGTCACTGTGACAGCCTGTTCCAACCAAAAAGTTGTCACAGTGACTGCTCCAGTCACTGTGACAAGTCACTGCTACTGTCACTGTGACAAAAATCACTGCTACTGTGACTGTGGCAGATTTCACTGCTACTGTCACAGTGACAAATTTCACTGCTACTTTCACTGTGACAAATTTCACTGCTACTGTCACTGTGACAATTATCACTGCTACTCTAGCTGTTCCAAATGCCACGGGAATATTCACTGCTCCAAAAAACATACTGAAATACCAGTGAATAATGCCGGCCGATGCTCCAGCTCGTACCCTGCAAATGGAAGTATTTTCGTTGCTTCTAAATTCAAGCTGCTCCACTGTGACAAATGTTGCTGTTATTTTTGATCAAATATCATAACAGAGTTCAGTCTCTATTTCAGTTTGAAAAAAAAAGAAATAAAAAAAGCCATGATTTCTATTTTTATTTTGATAATTTTTATAATTTACTGTTAGATAAATTGTTTGATAATAAAAAAATCTTAATAGTAATCTTAATACAATATTATATATTTGAACAAGATATAATTCGAATAAATAAAATTTTTGTATATATTCAAACGTAGCTTAGTTTATATTCACACTTGAAATCTAAAACAAATTATAATTTTTATTCATTTTTCTTCTTTAAAGGAAACTGAATTTTCGGTCATAAATATCAATTATGCAGCATATAAAAAAGTAAAATTAAAAAAAGTATATAGATATGAAATATGTTCCAAGAAACAAATATTATTTAAAGACTAGGATTTTTTACATCAAGTTTCCAGACACAGCAAACATTTTTATTTATATCTTAAGGCGTGAAAAAAAAAAAGGAAAAATTTTATCTTCTTTTTTCCCCCTTAAATCGAAAAGTTAGTACAAGTTATCAACAATGTCAACAATGATAAGTAAAAATTTCAAGAAATATCTATAAATATTTAAAAGTACGCAATGACAATTTAATTTTTTGTAAGC